GAAATATCTACTAGAAACTTGTACGAATAACTTAGATTTAGTCTTGACATGTAGTGCGATACAACTTAATTTTTCGTCTCTAAATAACCGCCAATCGAATTACTCATAAATTATAATTGAAATAAAAATATGGATTTTCCTTTTCTTTAAGTTAAACGTTATATAAAATTTATGCTCTTTTACACTCAAAATGAGATTAAACTCGGAAACCGTCATTTATTTTTTATTTCTTAATTCAGATAAGGCAATCGATGAGGATAAACGTAAAATATTTTCAATAGATGTTCAGTCCTAGTAGTGAGACCAAAAATGTTCTCTTATAAATAAAATTAATTGTAGTAAAACAAAAGAAGAGAGTTTTTGTTTTTTCAAATATTCTAGTAGAAGTTAAAATAAAAGTTGATTCATATTTAAAAGACTATATATTTAAAATGAAATTATTATTTCGAAATATTGAACAAATCTTTTTGAAAATAAATAAAATCAAAGTGTAGAGTTGTATAAAATTAATCTAATTGTTATTAACCTGAATATATGTTCATTAAAATCTATCCCAACATTTAGATTTTAGTATTGTTTTCTTTTTGTTATATTTAATCGGAAAACGAAAGATTATTTTCGACGGAGAATGAATATTAGTTTTATATAAATGTTGACTTATTAATCATAATTATAGAATAACAAGTTGATTATTTATGTCCATAAACAAGACGATAGTCTATTTATACTGTAGATATATCCAAATATATTATATATATGAAAGATAAGATTCTCGTCTTTTATTGGCCAGTTGTTCTCTTTTTTCTTTCAGAGAATATTCTATTCCGTTAATGTATCTTAACCGATCATAAAGATAAGCATTTATCAATAAAAATTTCCATGAATAATTATTTATTTTCTAATAAACTGAATTAAAATATATTTCAAATGTTTATATTAAACATTTCTCTTCGCACTTGGACTTTTTTTGAAGTTCTTTTCTTAATTCTTAATGGCTTTTTATTATGTTGAAAAATCAAACTGGAAAGTCTATTATGAAAATAGAGAAGATATTAAAATATTATTTTAATATCTCCACATGGATTATATTGAATATAATGTTGTTGTTGTTTTTTATTAGATAAGAGAATATCTGATGAAAGAATCTATTTCTTTTTCTTAGTTTGATCAGTAATAAGAATTTGTAGGAAATAAACCCAAGTACGAATAAGAATAAAAACAAGAGAAGAATTATCGATGGTTCTTTTTTTTTACACTTGATTACCAATCCATTGGCACAAATTGAGATAGAGAACAAGAAAAAACCCGATGGATCTCGTTTGTTTAGCTTAGATTTTTTTTCTTTTTCTTATAGTTGAAGGAGATATATCTCTCTTGACCCGTATAAAGACTTTTTCTCGTTTCGTCAATCATGTTGAGACGTGTTGTCTTGCCATACATTTTAGATGCTGTTCTATAACGATACTCTTAAGAAACCGACACAACGATTCTTTTTCTATAGAAAAGAAAAAAAATTCTATCATCATCATAGATTATTTGACAACAAGCCGACAACGAGAAAGAAGCTCGTTCTTCTCTATTTTTTTTTCTCTTTTTCTTCTAGAAATATGAAAGAGACATCAGTTTTTTTTTCTATTGCTGATTATTATTGCTATTCTTATTCTAGGAAAGAAGAAGAAGCATCGTCCTTGTTGCATTTATGGTTGCATTCTATTATTATCGAATAAGGACAAGTACTAGCGATAGAAAATAAAATCTATCAGATATATTTTATTATTTTGATCTCAATTTGTTTTCAATAATTATTGTATTTATTTTTATTTAAGAAAAGCAAAAAGAAAAAGATTTAAAAAAATGAAAATAAATCTATAAAATCAAATCAATGTCTTCAACTTTTAATATTAGTTTAAATATAAATGTAAATAAAATGTCATCGATTGAAATTAATATATTATATATAATAACAATAACTGGAATATATTTGTTAATAATAGCTATATATAAAATGAAATCTTCATGTTTTTTATTTCATCATTGTATTATTTGTTTAATATTATCAGTATTATGTTTACCGTATTTATTAAGTTTTTCAAATTATTCAATACGATGTGATTATTTAGGCAATATACAAGTTACTTGTGTTACAGCTCAATTATTGAATATGGCTGCTATGGTTGCTAATGAAGCTTATACATTTGAAGATCTTATTCATCAAGATTTATCATTAAATAATTCTCATTCTCATTCACATTCACATTCACAACAAAATTCTCATAGTTATTATCAATATCAATTAAAACAATCAAATAAATCAACTATTTCATGTGGTTGTCTTTCTTTTGGAATTTTAATTATTTGGTTTTCATCAGTTATACTTCATTTAGGTAATATATTTATTGTTTCCTTCTATTTATTTGAATAATAAAAAAAGTATTTTAATACAAAAGTAGAAAACAACAATTTTTGTTTTGCTTTTGATAATAATAAACAATTGATTCAGAAAAATAAATTAAGATTTAAATTTCATTTTGTTTTATTTTATTTTTCTTAATGAAACTTCGAATAAAAAATCTTGATAAATAAATAAATTTAAATAAGAAAAAACAAAACAAAATAAAATTTGTTAAATAATATTTTAAAGGTATAACAATGATTGGTAGTGAATCGAAATCGTATTATGATAATGATGGACAATATTGTAATTTTATAATTCGAGATATTCGTGGATATGTATTAACATTAATGTGGATTATAATAACAATATTTTCATTAATGATAACCATTCGATATATTCATAAAATTTTAAGTGAAGTATCATTGAAACGTCGAAATAATCAACCATTACTTTCATTAGCTATTCTTGGCCAATATCATGGACAAACAATTGCAACGAAAGATATTCTTATGCAACAAATTCAATTGAGAATTAAACTTAATATACTACTTATTGTATTATTTATTATTTTTTGGTTTCCATTATTTATTGTTACTTTATGTGACATTAAATTTAAAATAAGTGAACAAATACTGAGGTAAACTTTTCTTTCTTTAAACAATCTATTTTTGACACATTGCACAAGGTGATGATTATTTTTTTAAAAAAGAAAATATGAAATTTTTTATTACGAACTAAAATTCACTTTCAAACTTAATTAAAGAACTGCTTGAGAGCAATTTATTTTCTTAAGTATTTCTTCTCGTTATGAATATTTATTTACTTATTTATTTCATTAATTATAGAGTATCATTTTAAGATTATTTGTAAATAAATTCTACTATCGATTAGATTTCTTTATTAATAATATTCCAAATCTTAGTTAATTTTCGATTAAAACATTAAGATGTTTGTTGAATAGTATGTAGAAACTCTGTTATTTTTGTCATTTTTCTTAAAAATTGTATTGACAAACAAAATCATTTTGATCACATATTATCAAATAGTTTAATATTTTTTAACTAAATCACAAGCAAGATTTTTCTATATTAATTTCGTTGCTAAAACGAAAATTCTTATTGTTTAATGAAAATGCTTATTTAGGTATTTATTGTTACTTGCTTGGTCGAATTCTTCCATATCTCCATTAACATATTGTTTATTATTACCAAAATGTAATTATTTATGTAGATTATGTTGTCAAAAGGATCGTTCAACAACATATGATTCTTTAACATCATACTATAATAGAATTGGTGACCGATTTCATGATATTGGAAAATGGGATCAATATGATCAAGATAATCAACAAATAAATAAATTGAATAAAACATCTCAAATAAATTCTCATAATTTAGATAATGATATTCATCTTGAAACTGATTTTGATGTTGATCATGAACATTTAAATGAACATAAATTTCGAAAAAAACTTACTTTTGAAAATCAATACAAATTAAATGAATTTCGTCCTAATCATTCAAATCTATATAATACAAAATCAAGTTCACTTATTGTTAAAGAAATATCAAATAATAAAGATGATAATTCGTCATCATCACTATCATCGTTAACAACTATAACAAATAAACAAGATCATTTATCAAATGGATTAATTGTTACTAGTATTAAAAACGTCCATTTATGAACAGTTTCTTTTTTTTTATAAAAATACACCTACTTATATAGATATAATTGGAATTATTTAATCATTTATTTATCGTTTACTTTATTTATTTGATGGAAAATAAACTTTCTTGAAGAGATTTTTTTTTTATTTTTCAATTAATAAAAATTATTTCAATTACTTTATTCCTTTTATCAATATTAATATAGAATAAAAACAACTCGATTGATACATTTTCAATAGAATTCGTCATCACATATCAATTTATTACAACTCAGTTAAACATTTTACGTAATAACAGCAAAGTAAATTAATCGGATTAATGATTTTAATTTATTTTAGCATTAAATTTTTATTAATAAAATTGACCTTCTCTTTTAAACTCTACTCAGAATAAGTAAAACGAAAAAACTAAATCATAAAACAAACACAAATGATGTAGCCTATTTTTTTACTATTGTTTTAAATTCTAAAATAGAAAATCCCTTTAGCAAAATGAATCTGTTTTTATTTACGATATGATTTTTTTCTCATATCGAATTATCAACATCATTAACACATACATTTACATACCAAGGATTAACAAAAAACACATGGAAAAAACAAATTAGGGATTGCTGAAGATTGAATGTATTCGTATACACAAAAATAAATTTAAAAAACAAAGTTCAATTGAAAAACTTGTTGAAGAAAAATTATCTTTTTCTAAGATATTTATACTATTCACATTCAATGGTTGACACGAAACATTAATTAGATATATAATATATTAAGTAAATATAGGATCTGCATCGTCTTAAGAATAATTCGAATATTGAATTAATTTGAACAGTAAAAGTAAGGTTATGATGAAAGTAAATCATCCGCTAGAGCTACACTCATATAAATAGAATGATCTTATATAATATTCATATCTGGCATGAAAATAGTTATCTGAGAGAAAATAGAATTCATGAAAAAATCTTTTCCGACATTGCTCTAAAAACAGCTTCTTTTCGGAGGAAAGATATTTTGCATGTTAACTAATGCTAACGTAATTTTGTATTGGTATTTCAATGGAAAAAAGGACTATATTCAAGGAAAAATCAGTTGAACAAACAGAAAAATTGTGAGCATGCTGGAAGTTGCGACGCAAATAGTTTTAAGGTAACGATGAGCGTACATCTCCAGTAAAAAGATGACAAGACAACAAATATCAATTACTAATTTCAGTAGGCTAACTCGAATACTCAGCAAAATTCAACAATTTTCATCTTGCACGTAACAGCAAACTTGTCATAGAATTTATTCAATATGTGCATAATTCTCGTACACAACCAGCAGCACTCAAACGAAATTTGGAAAAGATAAAATTTTTGCCATTGCTGTACAACGAAGCCTAAAATAGTCTTGAAATGGGATTAGTATGAGCGAAATAAGATTTTTTGGATTTTGCTATTTCAATTATACATATAGAAAAATAAAACAATGATACAGATAAGTCAGTCTTACCTATTGCAATGTGATCAAGAATTCAGTTTTAATTTTTCCGTTATTTTTACTGCATGTACAAGATAGCCTCTTGTATAGGCTACACCTGACCAAACAATAGATCCTCTAGGAAAATATGAGATGAGTGAGCTGTTAAAGAGTATTTTTTGAAAATAGAGAAAATTTATGAGGCTCCTATATAACTTCAACCTTTAAAAATGTGTCTAGCAATAGTTTGTAGCTATTCTGCCTTCTTGCTTCAAATACAATAATATCTTCTTAAATATTATGTTCACTAGTGAACATAATTCTCAAGAAATGATACCAATACTCTAGTTGAATTGAGCCATACATGAATATGAATTCTAAATAGTTCAGAGAGTTATGAGACTTTGTTGACATAGGAAAACTTCTTTTAGGCAAAATCCATTTCCGCTGATAAAATTCAATTCTGTGAACCTCCTAAAAAGTATCCGAAGAATCATTTATGATATGAATTATTTTAAAAATTACACAATAATAAATAGATTTCTTTTCATTTTGAAAATGTTTATATCGTGTTAAGATCTTTTACGTGCTATTTGGAAAAATATGTATACATGTATATAATCTGTCTGCTGTGATGTCACTAGTCAACAATTGAAGTGAAACTAAGAAATTTACTCAATATCATCTAATATGTGTAGAAGTTTTTATGATTTAATCGAGAAAATTATGCTTTATTTCTTTTTTCCATGTGTAAAAACTTCAATAAGAAGAATTATGTCATATAAAAAACATGAAAGAAAACTATTTTAAATAGACGAATAGAATTCACCGTGTGATTTTCTTTGTAACGGATTCTTTCATTTTTTTAATTCTATGTATATATTTGACATGCTTTATTATAACTAAAATTTTATGAGAATAATGATATTAAGCTAAAAACTTCATCGTTCCTGTTATTATTTTGAGAATCTTCTAGAAATTAAATTTTTTTGCCGTTGCATGAAATATACAAATTAAGAAGATAATTCAAATATGTTATCGATATAAACTAAATAATGTTAAAAAATAAATAAGAAAAAATAAATTTTTTTGTTAAATTGTAAAAACTTTGGAGTAGATTAGATTTGCTCGATTGTTATCTCTCATTAGAATAGTTAATTAAAGAAACGTGTTAACTTCGATATATTAACATTGTACATCTTAGTTTTGGTTCACTGATACTATCTTTCGAATTAAATAAAGGAACATTACTGTATTTTTTTTCCCAATAGATGATGATGACGATGACCTTTGAATGAACCAAGTGAAATAGATTTTAATTCATTGGTTGAATTGAAAACAAGTTGGGAAAAACAATACAAACAGTACGAACGAATTAGACAGAAACGGAGAGGAAAGAGAGAGAAAGAGAAAAAAATCAATGAACAACAATATAAATATGATTGAAATTTATTCTCAATCATTTGTCAACTAAGAACATATTCAGTTATCAAATAGAAAAACGCCTTAACAAACAAATTTTATAAATTAGAATTTTTTTCTAGTAAACAAATAGTATTGAATTAAGTAAGTATATTTGTATATATATATATATATATTCTACAAAACATAAGGCTTAACGAATAAATAAATAAACTTGTATTATTATTTTCTATTTAAAGATATGTCTGAATTTGAGCATGAATCAATTGAAAATTTATATTCTAAATTATGTCTTGATTTAAATATGGATATTGAAACAAAAGAAGATGCATGGCGTTCATATGAACATATTCGTAAACATTATGTTCTAGAAGGTGATCAATTGCATTGGTTAGCTGTATCATTATATGTATCTTGTCGACGTAATAGATTTTTAACTTCAATTGATAATAATCCAATATCAATATCACGTTTATTGAAAAGTGCAAATCATTTAGAATTAATAGTTTTTTTTGATAAATTACATAAATGGGAAGATATGGCAAATTTACCTGATTCAATTAGATTTAAAATTGATCAAGTTGAACATGCATTTAATATATCATCAATCATATTTGAAAAGTATACAAAAATATTTATTGAAATATTTGGTGGAAATCAATATAAATTAATTCATTCTGATTATCAATATAGAAGAACATCAAATCAAATAAATCCGAAATTAAATCAAAAAAATAAAGCCAATAAATTAAATCATCATGATTTATATTCATTGATTTGGACTATTTATGCTTTAGCAAAAACAATTTATCCATCAACTATAAATGATCTTATTGCTTCATTTCATTTACTTATTTCTTCGTTTATTTTTATTTATGATTATTCAAAATTGAATAAATTAGATTATTTAATAAAAGGTAAATCATTGTAGCTTATATTTAATTAAAATGAGAATTTATTTTAAAAGGTTCTTGTTTAAATGAACTATGTTCATCCGATGGAACAATAATTGATAAATTAAGTGAAAAATATTCATGCTCATCTGAAATGTGCCGAACAATAATTGAAGAACATTTAAAAAGTGATTTAATTAAATGTATCAATAAAAGTGAAAATTTCTTGAATGAAAATAATTATTTGGAAACAATTCGTGATATAAATCGACAATATGATGAAATCGTTTTAACTAATTGTATAATTGATGAGAGAATCTTTTTGGAAAATCAAAATCAATTAAATGATTTATTATCAAATTTAAATGAGAATCGCTATTCAAAATCTTATCAAAATCGAACACCAATAACAGCAAGTCAACATTTGACATCGAATGACTATCAAACAAATAATTCAAATCAATTTTTAACACCTATTTCGCAAGCAAATCAATTAATTAACGTTTTATTTGAAATTATTAAAGATCAACAATCAACAAAACCATCAAATAATCTTCAATTCATTATTGGTCAACAAACGTTTCTAGGTTTGTCCGTTTTGTGTAGACTTTTAGTAATTTCATAAGGATGAATTCTATATTAAAAATGAAATGGAACTAATAATTTAGCTTGAGCTTTTCTAAATTTAGATGATCTAGTCGAACGTTTAAATGAATGGGAAAATATATTTAATAAATCGTATGACTCAATTGAAGAAATAAATAATTTTAATAAACAGTTAAATCCGTCACGATCGTGTCAATCTCGTTTTGATTTATCATTGAAGTTATTTTATAATTCTCTCGAAAATATTTTAACTATTGAAAAAAAACGTTTGGAATCAATTCAATCCAATTCTCAACAACAAATTCAACAATCATTTCAGTGAGTTCTTTTCAGTTTTTGAAAATATTTGAAGATAAATTTAATAAATTCAATAGAAAATTAATATTGAATAATCAATTTTTAAAATCTCTTCTTGGTTTATGCATATTATTAGTATTATATTCACATAATGATAAATATCATGATTTCAATTGGTTATTAAATATCTATTCATTACATGGTTATTCTTTTTTAAAAATAATACAAATATTTTTAAAAACATCAAAACAAATATCGAAAGGTCGACAATTTATAAAATATTTATCGTCAATAGAAGAAATAATAATATCTTCAATGGCATTTTCAAATGATTCATCACTGTGGAATGATATTGAATTAAAAGGAATTTTAAAATATAATCAAATTCAATTGATTCATTTAAAAAAAAATGATTCATTATCACCAAATAATCATTTAACTCCTATATTTATTCAATCACCAAATAAAAATAATGTTTCAAGAAAATTATTTCAATCTTCAACAACAACGATCACTCCAAATCAATTCAATGTAAAATTTTTTTCGTTTCTAGATACATATTGGTTTTATCTTAATTTTAGAATAATTTATCATTGATTCGAAGTCAATCCGATGGAATTGTTGAAAAAACTGTTAAGTTATGTCCATATTCAATGTTTTATCGTCGATTATATGATCTAGTATCATCTCGTCTTGATATACTTTGTCTTCGTTTATTTTCTTCTCAATCAAATCAAATTGAAAAATTAATTTGGAATTTTTTTATATATTTATTTGAAAATTATCTAGAATTATTATTTCGTTCAAGAGATTTAGATCAAATATTATTATCGTCAATTTATTTTATATCAAATTCAAAATTAATTCAAAATAATCAAGAATTAACATGGACACGTTTAATTCAATCCTATAAATCAATGCCAAATGCAAAATTAAAAACACTTCGATCTGTATTTATACGTTCCATTAATCAACAGAACGATTTTATTATTAATCAAGATAGTTATCGTAAGAATTTTCAACGTTTTTTTCTAAAAATGAATAGTATTTTCTTTTGGTTTATTTCTAAAGGTGAAAATCCATGTTTAACACCATCCAAACCAGCGGGAACAATTCATATTATTGATGGAAACATGTTTGGTGATATAACTAGTTTTTATAAAGAAATCTTTCTAAAAATTGATAATCTGGAAAAGAGTTTTGAAAATTATTTAAAAACAAATGAATTAATTGAAATTCCAAATCGAATGAAACCGAATGAGAATCAAAAAACAACAAATAATATTTCAATTAATATTGGTCAAAATATTTTTATTGATTATTCATCAAATAAAATTCAATCGAATTTATTTTCATCAAACAATTTGAAAGCAAATTCATACCAAACTAATTCTCAAAATAAGTCAACATCCAATGTTTTATCATCATCTATTCAAGCAGGTTGCTATTCGTTTTGTTTCTTTTTTTATTTTCATTATATTCAAGAACGAATTAAATATGTTATTGATTAAAATGTCAATAACAATCATTCTCGTCTAAATGTTTATTCCTCAAAATAATTAAATAAGATCATTGAATACTTTTTTTCTTGTTTTTTGAAATTATTCTAGTATTTTTTTTTGTAGGTGCAAATAACACAGTCCGAACAACTCGAATACGAACTGAAGATGGAAAATTTTTAACAACAATTTCTACAATATCAAAGTTAACAAATAACAATAGTGATGATATTCAAGAAAATATTTTTATTGAAAAAAATCAAACCAATCTTTTATTTGGTCAATCCAATAATAATTCAATTAAACGAACACTTTCACAAGATTCAAACTCAAATTGTTTAACAAGTTTAACAAAAAAAGTTTTACAAATTGAAAATGATCGGCAAAAACTTGAACAAAATTAATTTCTTGTTTTCTTTCTTTCTTTTCTCTTCCGTCTTTTGTTCGTTGTTTTCATTGAATTCATTTAAATAAAATTCTATTAGTACATTGACTTCAAATTGAGAAAAATATTTCATATCAACATTTTTTCTTTCAATCGACGCAGGAATATTTAAAAAGAAGACTATTTTGATTTTTTCAAAAACATTTCAAGTTAGATTTAAATAGAAAATCTTCTTATTTCTAATAGTTACTCTGTGATATTTATCGTTCAATATAATATTGTTCTAAATCTTCGATAACTTAAGTAGAAATCTCATGAAAAATATGTTTCATAGAAAAGAAAATTTGTTCTATTAAGTAGATTATTATACGGTATGATTGCAGTGAAAAAATTAATTTTTTAACAGAAGAAAAATGCATGAAAAAAATAAACGGTTTATTAATGTTGACAAACTATGAATATGATTATTTTTTCGTAAATGTAGTAGTATCATTTTCTACGTAGACCTAAATTCTTTATAGATTATATTTGCATGGTAAATCTTTCTTTTCAATGATTTTATCGAACATTAATTATTAAATCAATTTAAACGACAAAATTTACTGAAGAAAAACCTAACAATGAGTTACACATATAAATAAATTCATTGAAATTTAAGCCTTTAGATATCATTTTATCTGAATCAACGATATAAACATATCAGAATTGACGAGTGTGCATATGTGGATGTTGATATGGGATGTGAAAGTATATCTATAATGAACAGTCAACAAAAACATTTCATTGTATGAATGATATTTACTGTTAATAAATACTTTAATAATGATTGTTACTTTCTTTATTTTAACGTTAACTCCTATATCGATATATATATATAATCACTTTTATGTTTTATATTTGACGTTGGCATTGAATTTTCTAACGAAAATACAAGATATTGACATAATTGTTCATTAAATTTTGTTATAAAAGACAATCATTTCGATTTTGAGTCAGTTTTATTATGAACGAGCATCCTAAATCATTTTTTCTTCATTTCATTTCAGTTTGTTTTTCTCAATCAACAACTTCATTTATTCGTTTGATCTCTTTAAAAATTATCAATGCCATTCGGATTTAGTGGCATAATCAGCGGATGGCCAAGCGTGACTTAGCTCCACCACTGGAACTTTAAACTCTGTTATGTTAGCTATGAAGTAATTTAGATTTTCAATAAAAACAGAAGAAATTCAATTACGACATTTCCTTATGAATCTTTTTCTATTGAGAATGTCTATCTAATGGTAGATTGAAAGTAATATACCTTCATATTTCTGGCAAAACAATAATGAGAAATACAACGACAAATGATCGTCTCAGTGATTTGTGTTTATTAGCTGTCGAGTGTGACATTGATGTAAATGTTGAGCAGCTTATTTTATAAATTCTCAGATACTCACAGAATGGTTTGCTTATGTTGAAATAAACAATTCCTTTTCTTTCTGTCTTGATAATATTTTGTTCATATGACTGAATTAATTAATTGATCATTCATCAAGACTCTCAGTATGTAAACATATCTTTTTAGTAGATTCTGATGCTATGCTAAGGATTTTATTGGTGTGAATCTCTACATACAAATTGATTGATATCTGAAATTGGTGAGTAGAGCCCGTTAAATTCAAGATTTTTGAACTCAAATACGATTCTGAACGGATGAAAAAATTGTTTTAAGATCTGAAGGGCTCTCCTAGTGAGGTACTATCTGATTGAGTGAGGCCTGAGCTCCACCACTCTTAAATTTCTGGTTACGTTGCTACTTCGAACGATAGACCTATTTCATTAGAAATTCTAATCACATCAAACTCTTTTTTCATTTATAAGCAGAACAAATCATTATCAATTTTTTCTTTGTTGAATTTCTGATGAACTTTCGTATAGTGGAGTTGAGTCTAGATGTTCTATACTTCTAGTAGTCCTGAGAACGGAGTACAATAATAAAAAAAGAAATCGTTCTATCTTTCTATAAACAGAGAGAGAGAGAGAGAAAGAATTCTCTGAAAGCAAAGTTAAATCTACAAAATACATATAGAACTTTTGATATATCAATCGCCATTTCTAATGAGTGACATAAATCGCATAAAATAAAAACAATGAATATTTTTAGATTGACAGTTGTACGTAGATCATTATGAGATTCATCTTGAAACAATAAAATACGAGGCATGAAAACATTTATTGACACTCATTCTGATAGAATTTATCGAAATTAAATTTATTAATATTGATCCGTTTTTTTTTATTCAAATAAATAAATGCTTTTTAGTTTTGTTAAACGTCACAAGAAATTTATTATTTTATTTTATTTTATTATCAAGTAAATATTTAATCTTTTTACTTGTCACATAGACTGAACTAAATGAAAAGTTATTTCTTTTATAAATCTATTCAAGCGACAACTCTACCCACGTAATAATATTTCAAGTAAAATAGCTTCATACCGCGGTTTTTCCAATTCACCGAGGTCGACTTTGGGAAACCGCGTCTTCTAGCGAATTTCTCTAGCCGCGGCCACATCAAACCGCGATCTTGGAAACTTACACATACTAAACCGCTCTCTGGATACCATCCGCCACGGTAGCGTACATGTATATGAGTTCAGAATGAGTCTTTATAATGAGCAGCTATCTATAGACAGAAATAAATTTTTCGTTTGCTAATGTTCTTTGCACATTATTGGAATAAGGCAATTGCATATGCTGCTTGTGTTTTATATGAACCTATTTGAATAAGACATTAAAAAACTTTTAATGCAAAATAAAATATGATGACTGATTTTGTGATTGAAATTGATTTGCTGTTAGAAGTTTTGGTATAGGTTCAAGAGCTATTCGAAAAATATTTTTCTTGGTGGTATTTAAATTTGTGAGAGAATTTGTTAAATGAAAAGCTTTTAGAGATGAGCAAAAAGTAAATCTATTTATTAAACGATGTTGTTGAGAGTGAATGGACCGAACGATAATGAAAACAGTCTCCTCGAACATTCATGAAAACTTGGAAAGCCTGGATAATAGAATATAACATCTCTATCATAATGACAAGCAATATTCATCATATTTTCGAGTTTCTTCATTCAACTATAAAAATGTAGTTTTATTCGTTTTACAAATAATTCATTTTCCAACTGATAATGTGCGACAAAACTTTATTTTTATTATGTTATTTGTTGGCTTTGATAAGCAATTAAACATCGAAATTGCTCAATAGATTGAATACCTAGTTGAAAACGAAAATGTCATGTTGGATATACACTTTGTGATTTATTTTTCTTTATCGATTACAATGGTTATTATTATAAAATGATTTCTATCAAATGAGTTTTATTGCAATGATAATGATTCTTTTGATGTTAAACCATTGTATATAAACACCTGATGACAATACATTCATGCATCACTTTTATATGATAACAATCAAAAAAATCAAAAAACAAAAATCACGAAAACAACAATAAGCAAACACGAATTACATGGCAATAACACGAGAAGTACAACACAAGAAAAGTAATGAATAGACAAAAATTTTTACGAGCAGCACATGTTTGAAAACGACTAATTTCTTTTCCTAATTTAGACGTTTGACTTTTTTGACCAAGCGGCGACTAGAATTACCTAAAAATAGAAATTCTTATTAAGCAATCATTATTAGACATGTTGAAAGTTACGTTTGATGAACTTGTTCACGTTTGTTTCAGTGATGCAGTTCAGCATGTTAATAGCTGCATCAATGTTTTCCACAACTAAAACAAGTACAGTTAAGTATATCTATCGGACGTCACAAAAGTTTGGCGACATTTGGTGTTTTTCATATATTTCATTTCAGAAAAAAAGCAGAAAAGGTTGAATTTAGTTTTGAAAGATTCGCAATTCAATTCTCTACAAGAATATATTCACATTAATTTAAAATAATAGAAGTGAAAGTTTTTATAGCTCGAATAGTATTTATTTCCTATAGCTATTTTCACTTCACTTTTTCTGACTTTCTCCTCATACGAATAGGTGGTTAAAAAATTTAATTAGCTATACGATTACAGATCACTACTCATTCAGAATAATGTCTCTGGTCGATTATAAAATGCTTTTTTGTAACAAACGTGATCTACTTGATTTTATACTGCAAAGCAATCTTCTAGGTTGTTCAGTCTCGTGAAATTGAATGGCTTCGTCAAATATGTTTTGAGCCTCAAACAGAAAGAAGTCTACTTTCGAACTGCGCAGCTTTCAAAATTAAATTTAAGATTTCCTCTTTTTGTTGAACTGAGATACATGAAAAACAACAAATATTACAAAATTTTCGCTACATCCGGTATCATAATGAATATAGAGACTTACTTTCTACGTTGAGAGCTTTTAAAAGCGAATTACGAACTTCTCCAACGTGAAAATGAATATTGCACACCCTGTGTAAAAGTACAATTACAATAAACGTGCGTAAACAAGACAATAAAATAACATACCCTTTTATCATGATCAATGATTCATCTTTATGTTCATATCTATGTAATACATCGATGTCATGTAAAGCATCTAAAATAATAGAACGAGTTTAGGACTGATTTATATGATTTTGACTAACCTTTGTATCTATTTTCTTCATAATGAATCAAACATCGATTTTTATGATACTTAATTAATTCATTTAAATCTGTAGTACGATCAATCAAATCACTAAGTAACTAAAAAGTAAACAAATTATAACCTCCATTATTTTAAATCTAAATGCTAACCCCAATTTGATCGTTTGTGCCAGATTCAATGGTTTTCATCGTTAAGTTATTTTTATTTTGAATCGGATGTATATTCTTTATTTCGATTTGTTCACTTTTTACGTGTTGAATGGTCAAGGAATTATATGTGGCTTGTCGAATACATGTCATCTCCGAATATGCCTCAATGTAGTTTGAACAAGAAGTATGTTTATCGAATAATAAGAAAAAAATTTATTTTTATGATGCACATAGAAACGTCTTCTTTATATATCATTCTATTTCGCGTATCTCGGCATGATAGACAAAGATACACGTTCAAGCCAATCGATACCATATATATAATTTGCAGAGCCGTCTGTTATTAACACGTTCTTACAACATTTATAGAATAATCGACTACTACCACATTAAGAGCGTGTGAAAGATGTCATTGTTATAGATGTCGTTGTTTCTATGATTCAAGATAAAAATTGAAAAATATTTAAATAAATAATTATAAAAAGAAAATTATAGATTTTTCGAACAATAAAAAATTTGGCAAAGAAAGTATTCGATTTATAGCGAGGAGGAGGTCGATTTGAAAGTAGGATGGTTAGTGATAAATATAGAAAAAAAAGAAACGAGTCAGTTGGTTGTTTGTCCAACAAGGTTAACAATGGCTTGTTTTCTGTTTATTCGTCCGTGACAATCTTGTAAATCGCAGATTTTGATGAGATGATTATGATATATCAATTAATTTCAATTACTTTATTTGGTATGTCTTTTTTTTTGAAAAATTCTGCTCATATTTATGTGGATATTTTTATTGAATTTTGTTTTTCTGTGTTTCTATTTATGTTTCTAGTAAATGTTGCATTGAGTCTTCGATGCAAAACAGCATGGCCCTCAAATTGTCTTCATAATTCCACCTGTAAATATGATACAAAAGAATGTCCGTTATCAGAAATATCATCGAATATCCGTGGTGGAGTTTACTGTTTAACAATTGTAAATAATGATCCAAATGAATTAATTATCGGTAAAATGGATTGTATGTATGATCAAGAAACAAGTAAAACATGTAAAAATCAATCACAATGTATTATGAATTATACAAATAAAGATAAAAAATTTTTTCATTGCTGCTGTGACAAAGATGATTGTAATCAGAATTTTGTCATGTAAGTTATTAGAGTAGTATGTTCTTTTATTCGAATTCAGACTTTTAGTTTTCATTTTTTTGATAGAAATCCAACTGATGAGCCACCACGAAAACTGGATGATCCAAGTATTTTTCAATAGATGTTCTTTTTCTCAAGATCTCTATGAATGCTTTTTTTTATTGTTTTAGCAAATCGATGTAAAGATTTCTTATGTAAAAGAATAACTATTATTCTCATATGTTTAATTTTTGGTTTTATTCTAATATTAATTTTGATCTGCTGTATTTATCGAAAAAAATTAATGAAAAGTGGAAAAAAAATCAATAATCTTTTTGGCAAAGAAAAACAAGAAATTACTCGTCTTTTAGAAGAGACTGAAGATACAATTGGCAAAATTGATTTCAACGATTTGAAAATAGAAACGTTACTTAAAAAAGGAAAATTTTCCTTCATTCATAAAGGAATGTTCAATGGTCAAGAAGTTTCTATTAAGCAAATATCGAATACAGATGATATAAATCATTCAAAACAATTATTTGAACATGAAAAACAAATTTATTCATTGAAACTTATGCAACATGAAAATATTCTAAAGTAAGGGTTTTAAATTTGTTTTTAAACTCAAAAAAGAAAAACATCGATATGAAGAATTTGCTTCTTTATGATTTTTTTCAGCAAAAACAAATAATAGTGAACAGATTGAGCAAATGACATACAGGCATGCATATCATTGAGTGTTTGAAATTTTAAAACAAAAAATTTTAATTTCTAACTGATATTCATATGTTCTGAAACTATCACTAGTTATTAAGTTTTTGTTTTGTCTTCTATCGTAGCTATTGAATTTCGTCTACATTGTTTTATCTCATGTCTGAGTTGTGAACTTTTTCTCGTTGCTAAGAAAGCCTATTCAATTATTTCTTCTTTTGCTTTGATGATTCGCCTGTTATTGTTAGAATATACAGGATGAACTGGATAATTATAATTTTATTAAATACAATTTTGATTATTTAAGATATTATGGTTATTCAATAAATAATAATGATAATTATTATATAATAACTGAATTAAGTCAACATGGTTCATTACGTGATGTTCTTCGTTCACGTTTATTAAAAGATGAAAATGAATTATTATTAATTTGTAAACAAATCTCAAATGGTCTTGAATATCTACATAAAGATAAAGAAAATGAAAATATTCGCCCAAGAATTGCCCATAGAGATTTTAAATCAGATAATATTCTTTATCTAAATGAAAATAAATTAGTTATCTGTGATTTTGCCATGTCAATTAAACTTGATCAAAATCCAATATGTCCAAATGAACAACAACAGGTAAAAATTGTTTTCTTCATTTAATTTTAATGTAATTAAAAATCATATATCTAAGATTGGAACTCCTCGTTATATGTCACCAGAACTCTTAGTTGGAACCATTGGATGTGAAACAGATGCTTTACTTAAATGTGATGTTTATGCGCTTGGGATTGTTTTCTGGGAAATTTTATCAAGATATCCTTATGATAAAAAAGGTTTGTTTTTATTTTTTTGTTTTTGTCTTTTTTTGAAATTTATTTTAAACCAAAATAGATCATGATCAAAAGTATGAATTACCATTTGAAAAACAATTAACTGCACGAAATTTGAATTCATCAAATCCTCAAATAAATGAAATGTTACAAATAATTAATTTAGAAAAACCACTTAATCGTCCATTAATAGAATTATATTGGAAAAATACAAATAAAAAAAGTTTTAACGAAGTTCTATCAACAATGGAACAATGTTGGGATCAAACACCTGAAAGCCGTATAACTGCAGCTTTAGTTGCATTAAGAATGAGACAATTATAATAGAATATATTTCTCATTTCATATTTATCTCGTTTTTATTTCTACATCTTTCGTCTTTTTATTTCTCTTGTACAAAAAACACAAATTTAAAAAAATGTTTTTTTCTTGTTTTGTTAAAAAGAAAAATTATTCTTTAAATGTTTTAAATGTATTTGTATTGTGTCAACGTTCGTCAAATATTTCTTTAAAAATAATTTCTTATTCTAGATTAAATTATTAGATAAAATGCCAGTTCTTGCAACTGAATCTGTTGAAACAGCATCAAATGATGTTAATCAATCTGAATCAATTGTTCAAATAAAAGATGTGAAAGATGGTAAGAAAAACTATTTATCTGAATACCGATGAAAACAAAAATAAAATAGATTCTGACTCAAGTTCATCAGAAGAATCAGGAAATGAAGGCGAAAAAGAAAGTGAAGATGTTAAGCAAAGTCACCCATTAGCTGAAGCAGCTGGTATCGAAGAAGAATTACAATCAAAACAAAAACAAACACGTTCAGAAAAAAAAGCTCGAAAAGCCATGGCTAAACTTGGTTTACGTCCAATTCAAGGAATTCTTCGTGTTACAATTCGAAAATCGAAAAATATTTTATTTGTTATACAAAAACCTGATGTTTATAAAAGTCCAGCATCGGATACTTATATTGTTTTTGGTGAAGCCAAAATTGAAGATCTTTCTCAGCGAGCACAAATAGCTGCTGCAAATCAATTTAAAAATCTTGGACAAAATCAACAAGGAACAGCTAACACTACAAATGATCAAACAGCAAATCAATTAAATAATAATGAAAAATTGCCAGCAGATAAAAATACAACAAACTTATCAAATAAAACTGAAACAATTCAAGAAGAAACTGATGAAGATGAACAGGTTTTCTATCTAATAAGAAAATATTTGTTTTTGTTTTAATTTATTAATCTATTTAAGGTTGATGCCGAAGGTATTGAAGAAAATGATATTCAATTAGTTATGTCTCAATCAAAAACATCACGATCTAAAGCTATTAAAGCTTTAAGAAAATGTAACAATGATATTGTTAATGCCATTATGGTAAATATCTTTTTCATTATCTTTTTTTCTTCATTGTATTTTCTCATTATTTTAGGAATTGGCTGAATGAGAAACAAAAAATTAATTAAAAACAAAAACGATCAAAAATAAACAAGAAGACATAATTACGATTTGCCACTTAAATAAATTCTTGTTTTCTTTTTTTTCTTGTGTGTTTTTATTTCTTTTGATAACATCATTTCGTTTTTCATTATTTAAAAAAAAATAAAAACAAAAGAAGAAGAGCCCTCAATAGTGGCATATACAAAAACAAGAAAAATATTTCTATTCAATCAGAATTAAAAGATGTTTTGATTATTTTCATAGGAAAATTTAGAAACGTACGTTTTTCTAATTTAAAAAATCATCGTTGTTCTATCAAAGATTATGTCTGGAAGTATTTTTTAATATTTCTATTATTAATATGAAACTGAAAACTTAAATGTCCATACATTGTTTTGCTATTTTCGATATATTTTCAATTGAGATTTATCTAAACATGATTGTCTAATTCATTTTCATGTTTTCATTCTTTTTATTAGTCGTTTACACAAACCATATGATTATTGATTTAATTTATTCGGTTAAAATGAACTTTTTTTTATTTTTTATTTTTTATTTGAATAAAAGAATTCTAATAGGAGAAAATGAAAAAAACAGGACATTTTTTGTCAATAGTAAATAAAAACGATCCAGATAAATATCAATTTAAAATATTTTTATTTCTATTAATCATCTTTATCATTAATCATTGTTTTAATAAAATGTATATAAATACAAGTAACGCGTCGGCTCCATGAGCATCGCTTAACTCAATCCTGAAAGTGCACGATAGAGGCAATATGATCATACTCTCAAAAACAAAATGATACCGTAGATGGTAGCAGTATAACTAGGATTTGAGGCTTGGATTAGAGTTGCCCGTACGCTTTCTAAAGATACACAAAGGTAGCGTTATTTTTGTGGAACTCACATATGTTTTCGACGAAAATAGTGAGTGTGGGTTTGATGTCGAGGTTTTCTGACCACCCGTGCACGCCCTACACATTACACGTTCAAATTGAATAAGAATCAGCTTAATGGTTCCGATCTCACCCTTTGTAAAAAATAACTCCTGCATATGCTGGTAAAACCATGAATTAGGCAAACCAAACCAGCTCTGCGTCATTCGAATACCGCACTCTTTCCATTAGAAAAAAAATCCCTACTGTAGCCTTNCATTCACTGAATAAAATCCAGAACACAAGCAAATGTCCATAAAAATCTGAGAAAAACATCTCATACGTGGCAGAAAAATCGGGAATCAAACGCATTCTTGATCCATACCTTTTTAAGAAAAAATAATACGTTGAACCTTATTCATTATGTATAAAGACATACACACTGAAAACAGCGTTTCAAGCCATTTAGAAAGAAAGTACATTTCAAACTTCGCTTTCCTTAACATCTTTCAGTGAGCTTTCTTTCTGAACTTCTCATCAATTGGACACTAAGACAGAAACGAAAGTTTTCAGGCTAATGGGGCTCACACTCGAACCCCCAATCCTGATTTACATACGGGCAGAGTGTCTAATAGAAATCTAAAAGTAAGTGCAAATGAGTACTTTATTTCTATTGGCAAAGTATCTACTGATACTTTTCTCTGGGTAGCGAAGTACATCAAAGTACCATAGCTAAAACTTATTCAAGAAAAACATACACAAAATTATTATAGACTTCATCATTTAATTCAAAATATTATTTTGTTTAAGAAAAACAAAAAAAACACGCCATGAATAAATAAAAAAATACCTAAACATTGATCTGAACAAGTTTCTCTTAATCTGAATTAAATTATACTATAATGTATATATTACCCTAGTCGATCTTTTTTTTGCAAGCGCATGCAATTCTTGACTTTCTTGATCAAGAAATCAAGAACTATGGACACATCTTGAGGTAAGACATGAGGCCTTTCGGTGAGCTCAAGTTCTTAAACTTCTTGCCCATGCGCTTGAATTTTTATCTAAGCGTTTCTGTTATTAAAGAACTTTTTCAATTTTTGTTTTCAATTTTAGGGTCAAAATAACGCAACTTTTGATAAAAATTTATAGTTGTATTTTTTTTGTAACTCATGCAAACATTCAAGCGCTTGTCTTGAGCAAGAAAGTCATGAGCTATGGACACATCTTGAGCTCAAGTCTTTGAAAGCGCATGAATAAAAAAGTTCTACTAGGGTACATAAAAAAAATTTTAAAAATTTTTAAAGAGAAGTGAAAAATGATACTAATGTAACCCACTTGGTTTTATTATTTAACACGAAATTAATTGATGAACTTGACAAATATATATCAATTAAACAAATAACTACTTAACCAAAGCAGCTGAAGATGATAAATATAAAAATGTTGAAATCTAAAAGAACAAACAGGAACAGAAAGTTCAGTATTGANAGAAGCACCACAAATCTGCAACAATATAAGCTTCCGCTTTTTTTCCCGCTTTTTCTGTTTTTCTTTCCGCTATTTTCCGCTTTTTAAGATCAGTTTTCCGCTGTTTGGACTTCATCAGGTGGCAACCCTGGTTGTGAAGACTCATCCTTTCAGGATTGAGAATAATTTGTCAATCTTTTTGTTTCTTGCCATAATATTATTTGAAATATTTCAACACAAAAAAGTATTGTAATTTTTATTGCATTAATTTTATTTTAAATCAAATAATAACCGTGTTGGATAATTTCTGATGAAAACATTTTTGAAACGAAATTCATAGCTTAATTGATGTGGATGGAATTAATTAAAAATATAATATTTCTAGAGCATCTTGAAGAATGAATCTTTTTATTCCAAATAAACTCAAATGATTTATAAAAAAAGATTAATACAAAGATTTTTTTAAAATTCAATCATAGAACAAAGCCAAAAGTATTAATTCAGAATATATTCGTTTATGAATCTTCTAATAAATTATTCGTTTTTTTAACTTCGTTTCAAATTCTATTGTATTATTCTTCAAATATAGATGCATTATACTTTATTTATTTTATTTTATAGATTATCTTAAACAGGTTTCAATTCTATTTTGAAAATAAATAAAAAATAATTTTTTCTATATTATATTAGACTATAAAATAATGAGCTGAAAATTATTGGATAAAAAATGTGTTGAATCATTGTTTACTAAGTAAAAATAATTTCATAGTTCTTTTTTAATTTGATTGTTATTTCAAAAAAAATCATACTCTTTTGACGAAAAACGTTCTATTTAATAAATATTTCTGATAATTCTGTATCATGATTAATAATTAAAACAGGAGATTTTTTGAAAGACTAAAATTGTTTTAATCTTTTCTTAAAAAAAATAAATCAAGTCAACTGTTACGTTACAAACAGTAAAATACACATATCTCAGCTTCACCTTTATGGTGTTTGATAATTTTTTCTTAAAAATATCAAGCTTATCTAGTCCTGTCTTTGGGATCTGAGATTTTTTAAAACAAAACAATTAACTTTTTTCGACGATATAAAATATTTACTATTTTAATTTCAATATTCCCAGAGAATCCTATGAAAAATGCCTAGACACTAGCAAGTTATTTTTTGTCCCGGCAGATTTTTCTCTTTAATTATTGTTCAATGAAAGAAAGTTATTTTCAGTGTTCTATGTTGAGTCTACTTCTTCAACATTCAGAGATGCAACTAATTCGGTGACAGCTTTCAGACGACTTTTTGATAGACAATCATAAACGTCCTCTACGATGGTGACCGAAAATCTCGATTGTCATCCTCTTAAGGCGATATACGATCGATCAAAAAACATCCGTTAGAATATCATCCGCCAGTAGCTGCCTCTAACTTGATTTAAATGTTAGAAACTGAAATATCATATATAACGACAAAAATGGCCTTTTCTACCCCTTTTTATTACTGAAAAACATACTTTACTTAGAATTTATTTTAAATGTTTAAAATTGATTTTCTTTTGTTTTTCTTTATATTCTAATTCTATTGCCAATATTAATATTCTCTAAATGAATCTAGTTATGTATAATAACGAACATCTATTTTATTAATTATTAAATAAATCTATTCTTAATTTTACACCAAGAAGAATTTTAAAATAGAATAAATAAACTTTATGTTTTGATTATAAATCAAATTAAATGAAAATTAAAATACATTGTTCAATCGAACGATAAATACAAGTTTTTTCAAAAGAGATTTTAATCTATAAAGGATTTATTTAAAATCTTTCAAAATGAAACCATTTCTTTTATTTTTCATTAATTTTAAGTAGAAAATAAAGTGTTTTAATCAAAATAATTGTGATGAAGATCATGCTCTTAATAATAATAATAATAATAATAATAGAAAATTGAAACTGTTCTATTTATAAATCTTAATTTTAATTGAAGGGTAAATAATAGAAAATTTTACTTTAGTCAATATCAATTATTTGTCACATTTCTCTGTGAATCGAAGATTTTTTAATCATTTTTTTAAGAATTCTTAATGAGAAAGAAGATTTTAACTTAGAAAATATTCGCATGAACCATTTTATTCGACTATTGAAAACAATTTTAACAATAGACACGTTCACATTTGATTAAAATATCTCAGAGTTACTCGAACAACACTCAATAGAAAAACTTAAAATCCATAGTTGAAGTTTTCTTTTTTCAATGCATAAGTGAATGAATGAATTGATAAGAGCTGTTATGCAAATATTCATTTTGCATATTCTACTGTTAACTATTAGAGAACGATCTATTGAGTAGAGGCATTGCTTTAATATAAGTAAGTTTTATCCTTTTAGACATATGTATCGATTTTAATATCTTATTGATTCTTTGTAAAAAGATCTATTTATTAGTAAGATTCGAAAGTCTGGAAAATAAAATCTGTTTAGAAGCAAATGTTGCCAATGATTCAATATAAAAAGAATTTCATTTCGTTTATAGATTTCGATTGAATGATGATTCCTAATGAAAGAAAAAGTTTAGATTTTGTTTTTTATTTATTTTTCCTTCTACAATATTAGCTAACTGATGTAAATTGATAAATGTCTAATACAGAAAAAAAAAGAAAAACTAAAATTTCATTTAATAAAGTTGTTAATAAAGATTGATGACGAGAAGACATATATGAATAGAGTTCAAATTCTAGACTGATTGATGCATATGTATAAAAAGGTAAAATTGTTTCATCATGCTTCATTTCGAGTTGAATATGTGTTTGAAAGAGAAATACAAGAAATATTTTAAACAGAAGCAGAACAGAGAAACAATTTCAATTCTTTTTATGTATTCTTATCAACTTATTGCGTAAATTCTATTTAGTATAAATATTAATTGAAAAGAAACGAAACGAAACGAAAAGAAAAAACGTAATGAATTTTTTGTTTCTTCATATTTTTCTATTTTTGGAAAGAAATAAAAATTTAATGAATAAACGCGTGTCTCTACCGAAATTGAACTTGACTTAAAATGATGAAAATTTGTATATACATTTGAACAACGAAGTGTTAACGCTTATATGTGTGACAGTTATTGATCATCTTTCGCATATATTTTTCTGTCATCATGCAACACATTTGTTCTCTTATGTAAACTAACCGAACGTGTCCAAGTCATTAAGAGAGACATGTAAATGTCTATGCATGTCTCTTTACGCAAGATTGATCCTTAATCAATAACTACAATCTCTCTTTCATTCGTGCTTTCTTTCTTTCTTTTATTCAATCTGTCACCATTTTCACTTTTTTTTATATAAATCTTCTCGTTTTTCTTTCTCTCTTCTTTATATTCTTATTATAAAGATGATGATTACACAAGTTGTACGAGTGCCATTTGATCGTTTGTGTATTTATGCAGATCGTCTCGTTTAGTCCGTTTTTGTTTTGTTTTGTTTTGTTTTAAGTATATGGTGGCCAAGAGCAAGATATACATATAGCGATAAGAAGTTGTTTCATTCAATCATTTCATATCTATTGAAGATATATGAGGAAAACGAATAATTCTTCTCGTATTTAGTTTGTTATTTTAACAATATATATATACACGTATAAATTTTCTTTTAGTTAATTATTAAATAAATTGAAGAAAAAAGAAAAATTTTTATTTAATTATTTGAATAAAACGGTAAATTGACATTAAAAAAATGAAGAGAAAAGAAAAGAAGTGAATCAATTGGTATAATGATTAAAATAAGGATTATATGTTGTTGAGTAAATCTGTCCTGTTGTTGGATGACGCTGAATATGAAGATATCTTTCATTTTGACTCATTGGATAATACATATAAGGATATTTATAATTATAATATGGTTGATAACATTGACATATTTGTTTTGTTGAATAAATATCATTAATTTGTTTTAAATCATTGGATTCAACTTTTTGTTTTTGCTCTTCTCGACAATTTTCAAAAGATATTTTATTCTGTTTTTTTAAATACTTTTTTCGACAAAATTTATTTCCAATTTGATCTGCTAATGAATAAATAATTAACATTACTAAAAGAAACATAAATATAATTGAAATTAATGATAATATTGATGATTTAAAATTATTGAATAATAAAAGCTTTTTATCAATAATCAAATTTTTATTTGTTGTTGATTCTGATGTTAAAAATTTAAGAATAAATGGAAATGAATAAGAAGAAGTTTCAACATTTGGTTTATTTCTATTTGAATATGAATTATTTAATGTTAAACATGAATAATAAATAGTTATATATTGTCCATATAAACCATAAATATTTGAACATGGTTCATAAATTTTTAAACAACTTTTATCAATTGAACAAAAATTTTTATCATTACAATTTAAATTCGAATATTTTGTTATACGACGTGAACAATTTGTTCGATATTTACAACAATTGTATTCTGATGAACAATATGGATTTGAATTATAAAATATTTCAATTAAATTTAAATGAATTATTTCATTTCGACGACAAGATAAATTTATTTTATCATCTTTATTAAATGAACAACATGTATCAATAAAATATTCATTTGATTCAAATGAATTCGAATTATTTAACATTAAAATAAATGATGGCTTTAAAAAATAAATAAATAATAATATTAAATGAATTTTATTCATTGACAATAACAACAAAACACATATTCATGTAGATTGATTACCTAGAGAGTATTAAACAGATATTCAATTTATGTTCAAAAGATCAAAATCATTTGTTCTTATCATAAGAGTCTTTTACTTCTATTAGTATAAACGATAGGTGGTGAGAGCGAGCGAGAGAGAAGGAGACATACAGACATAAAGATATAAAGACATACACATATGAACAGGTACACAAACCAAATAGAAAAAAACGAAGAAGAAAAAAAACTCTTTTACTTGGCCTTTTTTTGAACGTTAATCGAACGATATATACTGTGAAAGGCTGAAAAAATTTTTGTATGATTTTGTATACATTTATTTATATATAATATATAAACATAAATATTGGTTATGAACATGAAAAGAAAAAAGAACGGAACTTAGCCAAATATATATAAAAGCGAATTGAACTCAAGGAAATATTTCAAGGAGATTTAAATATTCATCCACTTTGATGTTTAATCAAAGCAAAAGATTTTTTTTTCTTCTTTAATGAAACCACTTTAAAAATCAATCAATTTTATTTTTACTATTTTCAATTTTATCATCATCATTTCACATATTTAAAACAATAATAATTATTAGTTACATGGATTTCAAAGTTCACTTAGTTTATACGAAGCAATAATTCATTTAATTATGTTTTTTGAAAGATAAATATTTAGATAATCTAGAGTAAAAACAATCAATGAGACTCATCTTAATATTTCTAATCAGAGTTGTAAAATAGATGATTCTATTATTCAAGAATAAAACAAAACAATTATATTTATCTTACTTTGTCTTTTAGAAGATTTTGTTCATTTTCAAATTTTTATTCAAATCAAATTCATTTTTCTTCTAACAAATATTGTTGATTTTAATTTAAATAATTCTAGAAATAAAATTAAACGATTCGATTTTCTCATTTTCTTTATAGAAAAAAAAAACTTAAGCGAAAAAGATCTATGAGCTTACTCGTTAATATCCTATGGCTCGTGCCCATATATATATGGATATATATGGATATACGTATATGAACTAAATAGTCAGACAGAGACAGAGTAAGAGAGAAAGTTGTATAATAGCTGTTACACTCCCATCGGTTTCTCTCGTTATTTTTTTTGTTCTTTCTCTTCTTTGTAACACATTCTCGAATTCAGTTTTGTTACAACAACTGCATTGAATACAACAAAGATCAATTATAATAGAACAAAGACAAGAATTAAACAACGAAGTAAACTACATTAAATCAATTCTAATTATTTATTTAAATAGAGATCAAACGTTCGTTTTCTTTTCTGTTTTTTTTTCTAATAAAAGAAGAAACAGGTTGATTTAAATTTCATTCGGTTTTGTATTGTGTGAAATTTTATGAGAATTGAATTTCCCTGATTTGAAAACCAAAAAATTTGTCAAAAAGACAATAAATTCAATTCTTGTCAATATCTTACAGAAATAAATAAAAATAGAACGAAAAAAAGAACAAGAAAAAAAACTTGTAAATTGTTCATAGCATTGATGATGATCAACGAAACAAAATTTGATATAATTCTTTTTTCAAGTGACCTTTATCAACTTATTTGAATAAACAGAATAAATAATATTAAATTTACTAAACTGTAAACTTACTCTAGTTCTACTAATCTCAATGTCAAGCACCGACAATTAGCAATACACTTTACTAAAAAAACATTGAGACATTTGCGTTGACGAGAGAGATTTACAAAAGAGTAAGAAGCTTAAACATATGCAAATGAGAGTCACTATGTAAACGAAACTAATCTAATCTGATAAACACATTTTAATTGTGTGAATCTCGTATATATTCATTTATTCATTTCATTATAGAACATATTTATTTTTATTTCTCAGGAACAATGCTTGTTTTTGATTTTCATGTAGAATAAACAATTTGCATGACGATTGTTTATTCGATTTTCAGATAAAATAAAATTTATATTGAATATTTATCTAAATACATATTTTATTCATGTGCTTTTCTATAACTAGAAATGATATATTCTGTCCACAGTATTCATATTCGTAATAATTTTTATATTTTACAAAGATTGTTCAACGATTTAATAAAAGAATGTTGAATATTGATTTCTTTTGTTCTTTTGTCTGTTTTTTTAAATCAATTGAATAGATATTTCAAGAATTGAAAGTCGAAGGATAAGTGAGACTTAACAATTGAATGAATGAATGAACGAACGAATGATAGATAAATAAAATAGTCTATTTCTAGGCCATTGATTATGCAAATTTATTTTTCAATCTTTTATATAATCATTGTGGTTTTTTAATTGTTCAATTTCACTCAAAAGATTAAATCTAAAATAAGTATTTTATTTGAATTAGAAAGAACAATAATAGAAATTTATTTTGTTTGTAAATTCCTATTTTAATCAAGTTTCATAATGAGAATTTCTCTTCGAGAAAATAAAAATATATTTAAAATCAGTAGAAATTATAATCCAAATAATAAAAAATCATTCTTAAAATTTGAATTATTTTAAAATCGGATTCAATAACAAATCAAAATGAATTTAATTCTATTTAAACGAATTAATATATTCAAATATTTGTTTATTGGAAAATATTTGAAAAGCAAAAGAATAATAAAGAAAAAAACATGATGTTAAACATCAAGAATAATACTTTGTTTAATTTCATTCATAGACTTTTTTTGTGATGAACTGTTCAAGAACAAGTTTGTTTTATTTTCTTTGATTTTTTGGAAATAATTTTTTTTAGTTACGGTAGTTGTTCTTTCAAAATCATTGATATAATTATCATTTTCTCTCATTGTTGATCGATAAAAAATGTTAGATATTGCGCTTGTTTTCGTTGTTGTTTTTATTTTATTAAGTTGATCATCATCATCATCATCATCATCACCATCCATCGTCGTTGTTCTTATTGTTGGTTTTTGAATATCTTCATTATCATAGAATGGTTCGATTGAATGTGAATAGATTAATTTAGATTTATCTCTATTGTTATATTGTTTAATTCTATCAACATCCCCATTCGAAATCTTTGTTGTTGTAAAACATAGAAAAAGAAATAAAATTGATCTATACATAATAATGAGTAATAACCAATGAATATTTTATTTAAATGTATTTATCAACATATATATATATATATATATATATACTTTCTTTACTACGAAAAAAAACATTTTTTTTCTTGAATAAAAAACATAGTTGTATTCGATGTATAATTATTCATATAAATATATGAATTTAAATAATTTTATTTATTAATGATTGAATAATAACTATCATAGAATAATATCATTTAAAAAGAATAATTTTTATTGGAAATCAAAATAAAATAAATTTAATCTATATGAGTGTATGAAAACAAATTGAATAATGTTCTTTTTTTCTTCTTCAGTATCAACTAAAATAACTTATTTTCCTATTGATAATATTAATTTATCAGAATAATTCCGCAGTACATTTTATTTTGTTTTGTCAAAAAATAAAAATATTCTCATATAATACTATTATTAATTTAAATCTTGATCGATTGTCTTTGAATATATATATATATAGTTTGACAGGATTCTTAGAATTTTAGTTGAATCGTGTGATGTTTAACTTATGAAAAATGATTTTAATAAAAGATAATGCAATAGAACTAGAAGTGAGAATAAATTGATTCGATTTTATTTGAATATTTTATATTTGAATAAGAAAATAGCCTGTTTTTTCAAAATGAAACCTTGAATATATACGTATATATTCTAGAATTCGAATGATATTTTATTTTGATTTGATAACTTTATCTTTTCTTCTGTTAGCATGAAATGAAAAACAAATTGAGATGTAGAATGAAGGAGGAAAAAACTTTTTTGAATTCTATTTATATAGTTCGACTAAGTGTATATCTATGCATAAAATATGATTTCATTTGTTGCTTTTAATTCTAACAAATGTTTGCGTTAATTACACGTTGAAAAAGAAAGCATCACGATTGTCATTAATAATAAAAATTCGCCACGATTAATCTTATTGTTATCTGTTTCTATGGTTTTAGTTTATCTTTCGTTGTTCTTCGAAAAAGTTGACTTAGCTAGCTATGAGTTGTTTATCGAACAAGAACTTTTTTCTTCTCTGAACTACTCAACAAAATAAAATAGATTTGTCAGAAATCTTTTTTTGTTTTAAATTTGACCATGAGACAAAAACAATAGTTTCTGTAAAACTGTTACATGATGGCATTCGATAAATTTATTAACATAAAAATAAAAAAATTGTGCTTTTTTTCTTTCGTTTTGGTTAAAATTAAACGTCAAGAGTTTGTCGATGAGAAGATTTTGATGAAATCAATGATCTGTTTGGTATTTGATTTCTATTTGAAGATGATATATATTTATTAAGTAAATTCTTGTTTGAATTTTTTCGAACAGTTTCTTGTAATGCTTGTAAAAGTAATGGCGGAGAAGAATCATTTAAATATCGATCGTCTTTATAAAGTTGTTCAATTTTTCTTGTCGATAAAAATGTTAATATATTTGATTTTAAATTTGGTTTTATAGTTGAAGCTTTTGTCATAAAAGAATATTTTGATGATACATCAAATTTTTCAAATGAACTTTGCTTAAATATTGGATTAGCTGATTGTGGAGCTGGAGTTTCACTTAATAATAAGCGTTCATATTTATTTGTTTGATATTTTTGAGAAAAATCTTTTAAATCTTTGAAATAAAATGGTCTTTCATTTTTATTTTGACTAAATGATGATGATAAACGATCAAAATATTCATCGTCAGATATAATTGAAGAATTAATTTCATTTTGGTTTTTATTTTTCATTTGTATTTGTTGATTATTAACTAATTTTAATAAATCATCATCAGTTAAATTTTCTTCATTTTTTAAAAAACGTCTCAAAGCTAATGCTGATAAACGTTGATTCATTACATTGGCTGGTAAACGTTCGGGTGATAAATTACCTCGTATTTGTATTTCAATACAATCGGAACATAATTGTGGTCCAAGTAATGAACATGTTTGACGATCAATTGGATTTGTTGTCGATGAATAAGCTCGATGACAACGTGGATCAACAGGCGTACTTGGCGGACGAGCTATTAAATCAACTTTGATAGATTGAAGTGTACCAGAGGAACTTCGACGTTCGGATAAATTTTCTTTTTCATCTTTTGAAATTCTTTTTCTTATTGATTGATAACTAGAAGAATTAAATTCATTTAAAGAAGAAGATTTTTTATTTATAGTTGATGTCGATTTTAAAGATGTAGCTGATGTTATATGAATGGAATTTGAACGGCGATTATCAGGAGATTGCTAGATTGATTTTTCAAAAAAAAACAAAAAACAAAAAAGTATTTATTATATTTAAAAATTTGAATTTCCAAATAAAAACCTGTTTAATTGATTCATTTTCATAGAATCTTGTTGGTGATTTAAGAAATATTCTTGGAATATGTTGACCTTGTGTCGCTGTACTTCCACGTACAACTCGTATTGTATCATGTCTATTTGTCTTATTTATATTAATATCATTATCAAAATAATTATTTGAAGATTTTTGACGACTATTAGCCGATGCTCGTAATCTTTGTAGATACCATCTTGCATTAACTTTACCTGATTTAGTTCTACCTTGTGGAACATCAGACTGCACCATCACTTTTCTTTCTTTCTTTTTTTGTAACTAGTTTTTGTTATAATCAAACGATCGTTTTTCTTTTTCTTTTTTTTCTCTCCGTCTGTTGCTTCTGTTTTATACTTCAACAGTTATTCTTGTTCGTTTGCTATTCGTTTAACCGATGATTACATTCTGTTAAACATGATGTTTAATACAACAAAGGAGAAAAAAAACCTGAAAAAAAAGAACGTAGAAGTGCAGAGAAGAAAAGTAACTTAAATTGAAGTGCAATATATATATATATATATATATATATATATGAATATATAAATGTGCATACATACGTTAGATTTGTTTAAACAACGATGATGTCATTCAGGTTGTTTTTAGTTTTTTGAAGAATATTTTTTAGCATATAATTAATGCATAAAAAGAGATCTTATATTTTCATACTACTTAAACACACAAATACATTAGTAAAAGAAAACAAATAATTTTATCGATTTACTTAAATCAAAAAAAAAATTTTATATGACTTTCAAATCACTTCGAACGACAAATAATTTGTTTCGATGTAAACGATTTTTCTATCAAGAAAAGTAATATTTAAATTATTAAAAATTGCTAATGAGAAAATTTTAATTTTAAATTCATATAATCCAACGAATATGTTTATTCGTTTGAACTCAATCAAAATAAACACGGAGAGAAAAATTCAAATCTTGTGTTTCGATCAAGAAAGTTTTTTTCTGGAAGGAAAATAATTTTCTTTTGTTTTTATTTGATTTATTCATTTTATTTTAGCAACAATCTTACTTCGAGTTATTTCCTTATGGCAGCATTTATTATGTTACATTTTAATTAAGAAACTTTGAGTTTAACTACTCTGAATAGAAATTTTAAAATCTTTAAGTAAAATCTCTTGTATAGATAATATACCGATGTATTAATTCAATGAAATCAATTGATGAAAAGAGATCTTTTTATCTTTCTACTAAATTCATTTCTAGAATCAATTTCATGATGAAATTTGTCAAAAAACGAACGTTAGCAACGATTGATGCATAGCTAGATGATTTATCATTAAAAAAAAGGAAATCTTGATTATGATACTCGAAATGGAAATTCTATTGCTCTTATACTAATAGGTAGCAATCGAACGTTAATATTCATAAAAGAATTTTATGGTCAATTATTAAAGGAAATGCAGAAGACGAAAGGAAACTAAATAAAACGAAATCAACATTTAGATCTTCGTAAGTTTATTTTTGAGATTTAACTTTTCAGTATTCAAAATCTCGAATATTTCGTTTTAGATATTTAAATTTATTGGAAAATCTGACAGATTTTGTTTATTCATCTGACCAAGATCGACATGTAATTTCATTTCCATGAATAACAAAAGCTGAACGAATCAAAGAAAATCGGTCTTTTTCCGAAATTTGAAACGAACAATGAAACAATCCAATTAAAATGATTGTTTCTATCGAATGAATCAAGTAAATCAATATTATTAGCTAGTTGAAAATAATTTTTTTAGATTTAAGAAAAAAGTTCGATGAATCAAACATTTGATAGCTAATTATTTTATGGCAAATTCGAGTTTTAGATGATAAAAAACAGCTTATTCATCGTGTACTGATGTTCAAAAATTATATTCTTGTGAAAAATGAATTTTTCTTGAAAGATTATAATATATTCATTGATAGAAAGTTTTTGCTTTGGCTTTGTTTTGTTTCGAGATTTAAATGAAGATAGTAAAAAATTGAAAATGCTGAAATAAATGTCAAACGATCGGACTAATCTAAACAATCAATAGACAGTAAGAATTAATGTATAAGCAAATAATTCAAATAGCGATCATTTACATCAATTAATTCGTTTGTTCAAAGATAATTTAACCTCAACGTTTCTTTTTATTATTAGTTTTATTCTTAAAGTAATCTATGAACATTTAGTGGGCTTGATTTTAATTTTAATTTAGTCTTTTATTACTTATAGTTTCCTTTGAAAGAATGATAAAAGTAAATTAGTCTTTGGCATACGTATCGTAAACGCGGCTCATCCAATTCTGGCGGTAGAATAATTAATAAGAATAGAAAATAACTAAAAAGCATAGAAAGCTAAATTTATTTTTCATCAATTTGGTTTCTTTAATATTAGAGTAATTGATATTGATTTTGCAATGTAAAAGGAAACAAAAGAAAATTGATTGTTTGTCATACAATACATGTTATTCAGGGTTTATTTTATTTTAAAATCTACACTTGACCAATAAAAACAATTGATAAATGGAAAAAAGAAGAAACTATCAAGTTAATATTAAAATAAATGACTATCTAATTTAAATTTAAAAGAATAAAATTTGAATGGATCCGCACCGAGTTGATTTATAATCTTCTGTATTTATATGAAATTTAGTATTGATTCTAATATATTTTGTAATTAATCTTGATAAAATTCCTTCAAGATTTTGCTCATCGCGTTCAAAATAACAACCAATTTCAATTTTTTCCAATTGATTTAATTTTTTTTTAAATACTTCTTCTAAAATATCACATGCAGATATGGGACGATGTTTATGATGACAACGATTATCAATAAATGATCGAACTGGTGGTTCGTCATTAGTCTGAAGAGTTTTTAATATTAAATGGCGAATATTTGGAAAACCATTCAGAATATTTTCAAGAGAATGTCGTTGAAATTTATAAACATGTAATTCTGTTATTTGACTAATATAAATTAAATCTATTTTTTCTAATAAATGATTTAATAATGATTGATTCAAAATTAATTTATTTAAATTTGGTAAATGACGAATAAATGGAATTAAGTTTAAAGAAGAATGTTGAAAGATAATAGTCCGAATTGAATTAATTAAATAATGAGATTGACGATATAAAGATGTTGAACATAAATATTCTGTTGTTGATGATGAAAAGCAAATTGATTCTAATGAAGGAAATGATTTTTGTATTAAAATTATGAAATTTTCTGTTATTGAACATGATAAATCAACATGTTTCACATAATTCATATTGAGCAAATTTTCATTTGATTCTATAAGAGAAAATAAATAATAAAAAAAATGTTAAGCCTAAAAAGGATGATAATTTACTTTGAAAATTAGTTTTAATCGAATTAATAAAATATTCATTAAGACATTCGTGTAGATATTGAAATTTAAATGGTAATGTAAATAAAAAGTGCATATCAGTTAGTTGATTTGTATATGAAGCAAAATTCCACTTAAACGAATGAAATTGTTCCATGGATTTAATTTGATTTCCTCCATACGATTGAATAAAAATGTCAAATTTATTTAATTTTGGTAAAAATTTCAAGAGATTATTTTCTAGACGATATCCATCAATTATTGTATTCATACATCCAATTATATAAAGACGTAGTTTTAATAAATTTGTTAAATTTTGAATTAATAATTCAATAACTGAATAGTCTGTTACGAAATAAATCAGACCATGATTTGAATGAATTATATAGGAGAAATCTTTTAATTTATTTGAATAAGAAAATCCTTCTAGCGATGAACTATCACGACAACTACAAATTATTTAAATAAATAAAATTTTTTTATTTTCATTACGAAATAACTTAACCTGGTTACATCATAATCAATAGTTGCATGAACTTTTTCAACAATAGGTAAACTATTTAATAGATCAATAAGATCCCAATGGTTTCTTAGATGTATTGTAACTTGTTGTAAATATTGACAAATAATTAATGGTTTTTGCCATGTTAATGCATGATGTCGAACTTTTAATATTTGTAAATTTTTAATTATAAATTGATCGTTTAAATAAAGATGATAATCATTTTCAAGTAAGAAATTTAATCGAGTAAGTTTATTATTTGATGAAAATGATAAAAATTTTAATTGATTGTTATTTAATTTTATTGAATATATTTCATTATTTAGTTGCTGTAGTGAACAATAATATTGAAATACGTGAGGATTTAATTTGGTTAAATCAATAGATTTGCATGTCAAACAAGAATAACTTTTTAAAAGAGAATTGAATCGGAAATTTAGATTTGAAAATGAATAGAGAAGATCAATAGGATTTAAATAATCAAATATAGATAAATATAATTCATTTGGAAGACGATCAAATACACTCCTCCAGGACATTTTTAATAAAAAAAATTCCTTTTCCCCCCTCTCTTCATCATCAATTCCATTTACCTATCCAACTCAAATCATTGTTGCTAAGCAGTAGCCATGTGCATGTGCATTTTGTTTACAGCAATCGGTAAAAAAAGTTCTGATTTTAGATTACAAAAATTCATTTTAAAGGAATAAAATTTGTTCTATCAAAAAATACTTTTTATTTGTTGCTTCGTAATTTATACCTATGATATATTGATACGAGTGAGCATATTATTTCTCCACGAAGATGATAGGGATAAGTGAGATTTGTTGTTGAGTACCAGCATATTTCGATTATTCGAATGAGGTACTGCTATTTGTTGTCTATGATAGTAAACAATGCGAGCGTCTATTTTGTTACTGTTTGAAAAGTTATTTTCGTAAACTTACAACTAAATATTTTACTTGAATGATTACCTATTCACATCATAGTACTGAATGAAATAGTACGTAATTTTATTGATTTTAAAATTTTGTTACTTGTCATAATAATTTCATCGGAATAATAGACCATTTTCATATATTTTTTAAAAAATGTGCTGTGAAAATCATTGGTTCCAAGATGATTTCGTTCTATATTTTATCAGACAAAACGACATTACTCCATGTCTTCTCTCTTTCTCTCTCTATCGATTTCTGAAAACCGCATGTCAATGACTCTTTGTATTCTTAACTTATTCAATTTTTATCCGACTATCTTTTTGTTCAGCACCAACATTAGTAAAATAGAAATAGTTTTTGCAAATCAGACAGAAGCTATAAAAAAAAATCGACATTAATATATATTTTAATATCTATTGTTGGATGTATTACTCATTTTATGATGAATAGTCTCTTTTGAGCTATTATTATCAATTATTAAATGTTTAATTAGAATTTTTTTTGTCAATTTAGAAGAAGAATGTTTTTTAAATATAAATTCAATTTTTGCGACACGATTCTCGATCAATAATGTATTTTAATGAAATCGATTAAACAAAAACCAATCAGAAATATCAATAAACAATTTTCAATTCAACAATAATTCAAGTGATAGATGAGAGAAAAAAATACAAGTAAATGAAAATAATTCAATTGATCAAATTCAATGATCAATAAGTCAAATTTATTGAGAATTGCTTAGAAAATTATACTTAACTTCTGAAAATGTCATTTTATCGTTACCTATATTATTATTTTACAGTTTATTTTCGACTTTTAATTTTTAATTCTTTTCAAATGATGATCTGAATTAAGATGATGCAATTTTATTTATTGAAGTGACTACGTTTGCATTCAAATAACTCTGATCAACTGATTGGTGACTATGAAGTTGTACTAACTATTTCTATGTAATAAATTCAGGACTTAGACTCAGAGAAGAATGATCGTCTACCAGTAAATAAAAGAGTAAAAATATAATCAAATTTAATTGTCTGATTTATTGAAAAATAATTGTTGTGCATAAAAATAAAACACATGTATAAAAGCAACAAACATATTTACCAGCATCAGTCTATACCACGATTGAAGAACTTAATAAAATAATCAGCAACTACATTTCTACTTTTAACCTCTATGATAAATTCTTTAAAACATATGCCCGAAATATCTTGAATGCGTAATAAAATCAAATGTCATAATCTATCTTTTTACTATTAGATGAATATTTTGCCATTGCTAAAATTTTTCCTATGTCGAGCCGATTCCAATGCTGAAATATCGAACATTTCAATAAAATTATCACCGTTAATAAATTGTTCATAATTTTTCAAAAGTTCACTTTCAATCTTTTATCTATTGCCTATTATTGTTGTCAACCATGAAATCACTTTTTTTCTTAGTTATGAATCAAATTATCCCTTGATTTTTCCATGTTGATTATAAATGTTAGTGTACGATGATTTCGTTGGCTTGAAAAGAAAGGCAGATTTACTGGGCTGGGATTCGATCTATATTTCCTCTATTTTCAAAAAGGTCCTATTTTTGTCCTATATTTTAATGAAAATTCCTATTTTTCCTATATTTTATCGAAGAAAGTAGAAAATTTCCAAAAACCTCTTAATTTTGCTATTGCCTTTAGACGAAAAAAAACTTCTAATGTGTATAATCATGTGTTTTGGACAAATTCTTGTATTACAGTGACATTTGTTTTAAATAGTATTTTTCCTTTCGCCTATTTAGTGGACTGATAGAGAAATTGTTTAATACTAAGTACAAAATACAAAATAGTTCAAAAGAAAAAAACATTCACAAAATGATCATGTACTAGTTTCGGGTTTTTAGTGAAGTTTTAGTTAGATATAAAAGTTGTATATATATATACCCCTGGAAAAAATAAGTTTCACTCTGTATTTTGAGGATACTNNNNTTGGCTACGGTTGAACTATTTATAACAGCTTCATTAAAACGATTTTTAAGCAGAGCAGTTAAAAAACAGCAAAACAATTCAACAGAAACTATGTATAAAACATCCTATATTTTTGTCATTTTTTATCGAAAATCCTATATTTTTGGCAACCTTGATCCTCTAAGAATTTCTGTATGTTTAAAAAAGTGCAATCTGAGGCTAGGATTTATATCATCATTCGTTCATACTGAATAGAGAGTCTGTAGACATTCAAATCAATGCAAATTTATTTATTTATACAAGATTTAAATTAATTGAAATATGAAAAATAATCTTAATATTCAAGTTATATTTTATTTTGACTGTCAGCGATACTGAAAAGACTTCTTATCTTGCTATGTCAAATTTATTTTAATGTCTTCGTGACAGAAACAGCGAGAAATTATATGTTGTTCTTTTTCTTTCTCGAGAAAAAAAGCGAATGAATTGTTTATGATGTTTTTTCATTCTTCACATATATTGTTATAGGTTGTGATGGCAGCAAATATTCATGGCAGTTGTATTAAGTGTGGTAAAACTGGTGGAGTACTTTTTTGTAATGGTTGTCAACAAACTTTATGTTTTAAACATGTTAGTGAACATCGAGATGAAATTGAAAAACAATTAGAAGATTTAATCAGTCAAGAAACTCAATTTGAGAATAATCTTAATCAAAGAGATGATTCACATGATTTATTTAATGATATTGACAAATGGAAAAAAGAAATGATTGAACAAATAAAACAAATAGCTAAACAAGCTAAAGAAGATCTTAGACAACTAATTAATCAGTCTAATGAAAAATTATTTAAAAAGTGCGAAGAACTTAAAGAAAATCTTCGTTTATTAAAAGAATCAGAAGATTTATCAGAAATAGAATTAAAAAAATTCTCAAACGAATTAAATCATTTAAATAAAGAAATAAATGCATTTCAGTTAATAAAATCATCGAATACAATGTCTATAAAAATTGAACAACAACAAACTAATGAAATTTCGTTCCCAAAATCACCATCAAACGATAACATTTTACCTTCTGTAGAACAAAGTCATTCAAAAGAACAAGGTAAAAGTATTTTAAAATAGTTTTATTTTAAATATAAGTTTAAAAAAATAAAGGTTCAATATTAATACGTGAAATTGATCCGTATGGACATTTTATAATAATTGAGTATAATGGTTTAATAACGGATAAAGAACAAGATATGGTCGGATGGACATTGAAGCGTTCAATCGATTCCTATACAGATATTATTTATCGATTTCCAAATGATTTCACTCTCAAACCAAAATCATTCATTAAAATTCTTTCAAAACATGCAAGTAAAACACGTTATTCATATGAAAAAAAAAATATTTTAATTGCTGATTCTGTACCGACATGGGGAACTGGAATTAAAATAATTATTAATCGTCTTATTGATGCAAATGGGGATGAAAGAGATGTTTTTACACAAACATTTTAATTATCCTTCCTAAAAATAATTCTCAATTTGTTTTGTTATTAAATATTTTTCAATAATTATTAAAAATATTTTCTTTTTCTCGACTTCATTTAAAAGAATAGAAATGTATTGATATATCTAAACTTTGCCTTATACAATTGAATATTAATAAATATTTATTGAAAAGACTTAGTAAGGAATTTACTATTTTGTTTGTGTTTCAATAAATCCTATATAGGTAGGAGATAAAAAAAAAGAAAGTTTTCATGGATTCGACAGAAAATAACATAAAATATTTAAAAAAATTATATTCAAACATTGAATAATAAATTTAGTTAAATCTTCTTGATTATATTTATTTATTTTTCAGAAGATAATTATTATTACAACTTTAATCTCAAAATGATCCACAATTAATCATAGGTTGATCTAAATTTGTCTTTCATCGATTGTTGAACATATTGATCATCATTGAAATGAATCATTCCTTTATTTTTACGTTACGATGAATTTCAAATTTTTTATTTATATCTTTTAAAACAAATGAAATTATTTAAAAACTATCCAAGAAGTAACAAATATACATCCAATATATAAGAAAATCATCTCTTCGCTTCATTGATGAAGTATTATAGTCTGATGAACCTACTAAATGAAGATGATTTAAACTATTAGATTAAAAAAGTTGAAGCAAATATTTCGATCTTATTGTGATTATTTTTCATCTGAGAGGAAAAAACTATTATTCAAAATGATATAAATTGATAATTTTACAATAGAATAAAGAGATATTTTCTTCTGATAACAAATACAAAATGTCTTTTATTCGAAATTTAAAATTAAATATTTTCAAGTCTAAAGATTTAGTCAGTAAAGTTCTTTTCATATTATCATTGACATGTACAGAACAGTCGTCGTTTCAAAATGAATTTTTTTGATCAATAATCATTTTGAGACAATTTTGTCTTTATTGTTTATCTAAGATAACAGACAAGCAAAACATTAAAATAAACAACTATTTATACATAAAAGTTTTTTTCTTATTATAATTGAAGTGATTTGACAATTTGCTGTATTTTATTTTGTATGTCTTGATCATTAGGATTTTGACGTAAAAATAAAAAAAAATCTTTGTTAATTTCTTGATGAAATAATTCTTTAAATTGTTGTTGAATTTGATCTATTTGATTTTTTAAAAAGTAATTTTTTTGAGAAATTTCTTCAATATCTAAACGCATCTTTTGATTATCTAAACGAATTTGTTCTTGTTGTGCATCTTTTAATTTAAAGCTTTCAGATAATTGATTATAAGTTAATTTAAGTGAACGTATTTCACTTTTTTGTTTACGAAATAAATCAAGAAATGCATCTGTAAATATTGGAACTTGATTTTTTTCATTGACTTTTTCATTTGAACATCGCTTAGGAGAACGTTTAGCAGGTTTTTTTCGTGTTTTTTCATCATCATGTGATAATTGACGTTTTGATTGTCTTGATACAACTGAACATGGATTTATATCGATATTTTCTTCCATTAACAGTATTCTGATTAGAATTTTTTCGTTCAGTTTTTTGGTTTGATTTGGCGTATGAAATGAATTAAGTAATAAATATGTTAATGTAAAAATGAAAAAAAGAAAACAGATTTTTAATTGGTTGAAATATTCTCAATCACAATAATAAAGATTTTTCAATGAAAAAATACCATCATTGCGAGACATCTACAATAACAAGTCAAATATTTTCTTTAGCAATATATTATCTCACTTTCAATTAACTTCATTTTATCTTCAATATTAAACACTAATTCGATAATGATAATAATGCAGAACGTAAACTGATCGTTTTCTGAGGTGTCAATGTTCACTCGTCAATAAATTCAACGAGCCGATCATCAAGTCAACTATAAACATCATTAGAATCAGTTACGGTAATGCTATTATTCAGTCAGTTTTGAGCAGCCACACAATATTAGTGATAAAAACTATAACGAATAAAATAGAATGAACAATCATTGATAGGTGATAGTATAATAGTGAAGTGCTTAGGTATAAAAAACACAAAAAGATAATTCCATAAATATTCTTGGTATACTCTATTTGTGTTATTTCCATGTTGTTTTCATTAATAATAAGAATGAGTTTCGTCGTTTGTTGTTTAAAAATATACTCAAAGAGAGAATCATATAAATAAAATACATAGCGTATTGTTAAATGTGAGTAGCATCTCAATATCTTCTATACAAATCCATGAAATGTTCAGTAAGAATAAGACAATTATCAGCAAGAAGAATATGTTTCATAGAAAAGGATTCAAGAAAGAAATTTAACATTTTTATGAATTCTTGACAAAATATCAATACAAAATTAATGATATTAGTAAAGATTTGCTCTTGTACTATAAAACCAATAAAGTAGACATCGGCGATCACATGAAGACTTTGTAAAATAAACTTCAATGAAAATCTCTATTATAGTCTGAAATTTTCACAAGATTCCGAATAAAATACTTATAAAATAATTCTGAATTCCAGAAATTCTACCTAATCTCATTGAAAATCTTCTTAGCAGTATATCTTATATTGTTTACATACTAGAATATATAATGTATATCGCTTCAGAGTCATATAACAAATAAATCTTGTTGGTTTTTTTAATTTTCATATTTACTAATTCATAATTAGAAGTTTTTCCTTTATTGATCAATTCTCATCAGCCTTTTTTTTATCAAGAAAGCCGAAAAATTTTTTATAATTAATCTATAATAGAAAATTAATTTCCATTGATAAGAAATCGTGATTTATTTTATTGTTTTTTCTGTTTTTGTATTTTGGCTTCATCTTACGTGACGTATACATGTTAGTTTAAATAATATTTGATAGATTTTAAAATTGATCAAGCAATTTAACATTGTGTTGGTCGATAAAAGAACTGTATATCAATTTTTCAAGAGTGATGTCTAAACTCACGTTCGTATCGAGCTAAAATTTCGTTTGTCATTCTTTGGAAGTTTTAACTAGCTCTGAATTTTTTCTTTCTAATGGAATGTAAGAGCGTCTAGTGACTTATCGTAGAATGCAAGAAAAATCATGTCGAAATACTTGCATGTGTTCGAAAAAATAGCCATTACAGACAATTATAGTCGTTCGTATTTCTGAGAAATGAAAGCCTATGCAAAGATAATTATAGAATTCTATTTGTAACTTCTGCAACTAAACTATCAATCAATTTTTGGTTTTGATTATTATTTACGTATATATTAAAAAAATTAAAAAAGAAAGATTCAATGAATTCACTTCATTATTTAAATAGAAAAAACAAGATGAATTTTTATCGAAAATTGTATTAGATCTTATGTTGTATAAGAATATTTGCAGTAAATAAATTAAAAAATTTATGTTTAAAGCAAACAAATGAATATTATTTTGAATATATATTTAAGATCGAACTTTTTTTTATTGAATAAAGAAAAATGAAAGAAGTTTTTAATTTTATCTGATATTATCTATTGAAGACAATTGAGCATAATATCTGATGAGCAAAAATTAATTTTTATCTTCTCCATTATTTTTTAAATATGCTTCCATTTGTTGTTCTTCTTCATTTATATTTGAATCATATTTATTATCTTTTATCTTTGCAGAATTTTCAGAAGATTTTAATTTTCGTTGATGAATTGAACTAATAATTGATGCAATAATAAAAAATACTATTGATATTACAACACAAATTATTAATAATTTTGGAAAATTCTCGGGATTACTATCCAAAAGAACACCTTTGAATGAAAAATTTTTAAAATAATATATTTCTATTTCCTCATGAGAGCAAAAAACCAAATGATTACCAGCAATTTTTTGAAATAACATTGCTCCAAAGGCTGCACCGCATAAAAGAAAACCGACAAGTAATGGATTTACATTTAATCGTTGATTTATAAATCCAAATGATAATGGAAATGTTGGAGAAAAAACAAGACCAGTAAATGCACCAAGAACAAAAAGACTTGTAGATGTTAATCCAATCGATACATTTATATACCATGTTATTGCTAAAGTTAATCCACAAACCCATAAACCACTTAAAGCTACATGAACTGGAACAAATATTGTTATTATTGCACATATTAAACGACCGATCTAAAATAATATTTCAATGAAAAACAAAATACTTATTTCTTTATTTAATTGTTAAAAATAAAATAAAATACAAACCGAATATGAAAGCCAATAGATAATCATTCCCCAAGTAGCACCTTTTGTTGAAATAGAAAGATTAGATGATTTCAGATAGACAAAAAAAAATTTTCCAAATGTTTGATCATTTCCACTAAGAAAAAACATATAAAAAATCCAACAAATTGACATAGATAAACCATAACCGAAATAACCATTTCCACATGACCTGGGAGAATATTGTGATGTATTTTTAAGTTCAACTTCTTGTTTTCCATTAGCGACTGATGTTGATACAGATGCATAATTTATTTGATGATGTTTTAAAGCATCACGTCGAATTCTATGTTCTCGTATTGAAAATAGTAAATGCCCAATAGCTATTATTAAACAAAGAATTGATGTTATCGAATATGGAACTAGAATGTTTGATTTTTCTTCTTTAATTAGATTTGTTGAATTATTATTTAATAAACTATCAAATTTTGTATCTTCAACAAGAAATGGTTGAACAAATAAATTTGCAAAAACAGCACCAAAACCATAACCTAAATGAACAACATTAAGTGGAGCAGCAACATTGTTACCCCACATTGTTAACATCAAATTTGTTCCACCTAAAATTATATTCAATAGATTAAATTTAAAATTAAAATCAATGAAGATTTTTATTGAAATAAAATACAAACCAAGATCAGTTACTCCTTGAGAGATTCCTTGAAAGAAAAATATTGTTGCAAGTAGACGTAAACTATGAATGACAGGTGTTGCAAACATAGCTAAAACAAAAGCACAGAGATTAAATCCTATTTATAAATTAAAACTTACTTATAGCTGCAATTAAAAATGCAAATGATAATAAACCTTCAGGATGTTTTTTGACTATATTCTGTGTTATTCCTCCAGCGATATTTGCAACCATGTAACCAGCACCACGTGTTATTAGTATTGTACTTATTCCATTATACGTAACATTAGTTTGTTTAGAAAGAACATTTATTGTTGGACCAATTAATTCCAAATGTGCACCCTATTGAAATTTTTATATTTATATTAAATATTTTTTTTATATATTTATTAAAAATAAAACAAACCAGAACAATCCATGTAAATACTAGGAATAATGTTTTTATTAATTCCCATGGATGAGATGTGTACATTTTAATACCTTTTTCATTTATTTTACTAGTCATTTATATTTATATCTAAATATGAAAAAATAAAGCTCATTTATCGATTTAATAAATTCTATTCTTTTTCTTCTTCTTGTTTTCTTTAAATAAATACTTAATACTGATTATATATTCAGAAGAACAAAAATATCACGAAACGCTGTTACCAAGATGATGATATAACGAAGAAATGATGCTGAAAACAAAATAAACAAAGATAACAATAAACGAAATGAATATTCTCTATCAGTAGCTATATGTTAGTTTCTTCGTCATGCGTTATTCCGAGAAAGAGATATGTACAAACGTCTTACTTTTCTCTAACATTCATCGTATCTTCAGTAGAATAACTAATGAAAATAACGAAGACAGAATAGAAGTACGTGTAACCACGATGCAACACGTGGTCGTTACATAAACTGAGCTATATACTTTGCGTCTGTTTGTTTTATAAAGAAAAAAAACGCTATTCTGAAAATCAAGTCGCTTTTATTGCAGACGCTATCGTTGTGATACGAGCACGTACGTATGAAGCATTGAAGAAGAAGAAAAAGCAGCTTGCTCAAGTATATTTGTGTATGAAAAAGAAAAAAGACGAAAAAAAATGAAACTATTAAGTTATTATTTGTGTTACTTTTTTGTTTTTAATCAAGGCTATTTCTCAGAGAATTTCATGACGAGAACATACGAAATAGAAAAAATAATCATTCTTTTACTTAAAGTTATGTTTTTTCAATTGTAAATAAATTTGATTCTATATATTGTATTTTATTTATTAGATTAGTGACATACAAGTCTAGAACTAATCGAGTACCAACTGAGAAAAATAGAATCAACTATGCTTGAAATGGATCTATGATATTTATCATCATATATTAGAATTTTTGTTAATAAAAGGTTTTTTTTTATCAATGAATATAAAAATAACATAAAATAATTATTTTATTTCTGTAAAATATTAATAAAACCAATATTAATTTATTTATTCATCTTAGCTATGAATAGAATAAAAATAAGATAATAAATATATAGATAAAGAAGATTTTCATAAATTAAAAATATTAAATTGAATATATCCAGTCTAGAAGATATTTAGATTTTTATGAAAAAGAAAATACAATGATTATTTGATATCTTCTTTTCTTAATCATTCATTGAAAATATCTCTTTAATTAATTTTATTTTTAATGCATCTTATAGATATCGAATTATTAGAACTCATCCACAATATGGTCGATTTTATTCAATTTCAAAAATTATCATTTTTTTTTCTTTTATCTACTACAGTTTAATTTGATTATTATTATTATTATTATTATAGAATTGTTCAAATTTTAAAACAAAATCAAGTTAAATTCAATAAATATTTTTGTTATCACCGCAGATCTTTTTCTGAATAGGATAATAAATTTATCGTTAACCATTGATTATAAATAAACTAATGTAAATTATTGTTGAAATAGATTTTTATTCAGATAATATTAATCCATATAATAATCTATATAATAATGCTGAGTGTCTGTTTGATCCCTCTCCCATTGGTCCATTTTTTCAACCAATCGGCTTTGAAGAAACATTTCCTCCGTTTTTTTCTTGGTGAGTCATTCAATTGAGCGCATCAGCCGAGAGAGAAGGTCGACCACTACAAATTCAATCCTAGAACCAAGTTGCCAGGACCCATTCCTGAAGGAGAAACCGCCAGCTCGAATCTGATTGGTCGTCGCTAATCAACCAATTAGATTGGACCTGATCAAGGGTATAAATAGTGTCGGAAAGTGCAGTAGAAACATTGGTTTCTGTCTTTGGGTGTCGAGACCTACTCTCAGTATGGAGCGGCCCGATTTGACTGGTGTTCTGTCCATATCAATAGTTGCATCAGCGAAAGTTGGCCAAACTGTCAATAGTATTTTCAGTGGTGAATCTCAATCAAAAGCATGTCTCCGAGGTAAATTGCTGAGGAGATCGGAACAGATCCGGGAAAGACGTGCAAAGAAGCCAAGCATGGTGAGACAGAAGCGGGTGAGTGCTGATGCTGAGCGACACCGGAAGAGTCGAAAACTTGAAAATAAGGAGGATTCGAAGAATCGAAAAAAAGCGGGATGCTTTACGCCATCGGAGTCGTCGAGAACGTGTTGAATCTTTTCTACATGTTGAAATGGATAGCGCTATTGTATCTTATGGTTACCTCGGTAGAATGGATTGTAAGTGTCGACAATGCGGCGCGCTACGTACACTTTAAATGTGAGATCGCATCTGGGAGAAAAGATGAATACAAGCAATGCTGTCACTATGGGTCTGTTGAGCTTCCTCCACTGCTGCCACGTCCAGATGAAATGAAAGTCCTTCTTCAAGCTGCAGATGTAGATGGTAGAAATTTCAGAGAACATGTTCGAAATTACAATAGCACTCTGGCATTTGCATCCCCAGGAGAATGAATCCTAGCCTAGGATCCGATGAGTTCCGACCGGTTCCTAGTGGAATCCGACGGAGCTCTTCGGAAGGCGCAAGGAAACTCTCGGATTATCGTCGGATTCCTGGTTCCGGAATCGATATCAGATCCTAATATCGGAAACTAATAAAATCCGACAGTAACCGTTAATCGGAGCCGGAATGCTTCGGATTTCATTGGTTCCGACAAGCGGATATCATTGGAAATACGACTGTCGGATCCGACATTGATTCCTCAACCAAAAATTCAACGGAATTTCGTCGGATGGTAGGATCCCATAGAATCCAATGGGATTCGGTATCGGATTGATTCACCTGGGATTGGGTGTTCAGATTGTTGCACCAACGACTCGTGGACCGTACTGCTTTCGAATTCATGGGCAGATTTATCATCGAATCAGTGCGCTTCATCCAGGAGCAGACCAGAGGGGTCAGTACGGCCAGCTGTAAATCTTAGATTCGGCTCTGGCCTTACAAGAGCGAATGGGAAATGTTGGAAATTATTGCTGCAATAAAAATATCATGAAAATGCTAGGCAATGTAATGGCAAGAATCAGTTCGTTTGTTGCCGCGTTCAAAATGATGTATGAAGTTGAGCAAGAAGAGATTCATCGATCTGAGAGAGAGAAACGAGCACCTACTTCGGCTTGAATGATTTTTGATAACAATTGTCGAATGCGAGATCAACGTCGATACAATCTTCCACGAGCCTATGAAGTAGCAGCGGTTTTCTTCGGGGACAATGGAGAGGTTCCGAAATATCGGCATGTCGCTGTTCACTCACGGGGTCAAAACCGCCTTGCATTTCATCGACAAAATCAGAAGATTCTTCGAGTAGAACTGTACAAAGGTCTGATGGATCATCTAGCAAGTGAGGCTGCTATACAAGGATCTAAACTCAGAAGAATAATAATTCTTCCGTCAAGTTTTCAAGGAAGTTCTAGAGCAATGCAACAGAATTATCAAGATGCAATGGGAATCGTCCAAAAATGCGGAAAACCTGGCTTATTCATCACATTCACGTGCAATCCGAGATGGAAAGAAATTGAAGAGCAGCTTTTCCCCGGTCAAACTTCTTCTGATAGACCAGACCTCATTGCAAGAGTTTTCAGACTCAAATTAAAACAATTCATTGATGATATCGTCAGAAACCATATATTTGGACGCACAGTGGCTCATTTGTTTGTGATCGAATTTCAAAAACGAGGACTGCCTCATTGTCACACGCTCATCATTTTGACGAACGAAAGCAAACAGAGAGATAGTAATTCCGTTGACCGTATCGTATCCAGCGAAATCCCAAATGCTGACCAAAATCCTCAGTTGTATGAAATAGTGAAGAGTCATATGATTCATGGACCGTGTGGGGTACTAAACAAAAATTCCCCTTGTATGGAAGATGGAAAGTGCACCAAGGAATTTCCAAAAGAGTTTCGGAATGAGACAGCTTCAAATAAGGATGGCTATCCATGATATCGAAGACGAGATAATGGGGTCATTACCAAGGTGGGAAAGTATGAGGTTGACAATCGATGGGTAGTTCCGTATAACCCACCCTTGCTCATGAAATATGACGCTCATATTAATGTGGAAGTCTGTGCAACCGTGAAAAGTATTAAGTATCTATTCAAATATGTTTACAAGGGACACGATTGCGCTAATATTAAACTGGAACTACCTGTTAAAGACGGTGCAACTTTTGCCAAAACTCTGGAATGGGATGAAATTAAAGCCCATCTCGATGCTAGATATGCCAGTGTACCAGAAGCTGTATGGAGACTCTTTGAATTTCCACTACATGACAAGTCTCATTCTATTATCCGATTAGCTATTCATCTTCCCAATATGCAACCCGTCTATTTTGCAGAAGGAAATGAATTAGAAGCGTTAAATCGCGCAACTGAGAAGGACACAACCCTCATTGCATGGTTCAAATTAAATCGTGACAACTTAGTTGCCAGAAGATATCTGTATCATGATATTCCGAATCACTTCGTTTTCGACCGAGAAAACAAATGGAAGCGTCGACAGCAAGGTGGAAAAGTCATTAGTAGAATTATTCCGTTAGTCCGAGAGATACAGAACGCTACCATCTTCGCCTGCTATTATTGCATACACCAGGTGCCTGCAGTTTTGAGGAGCTGAAGACAGTAGATAACGAAATCTGTCAGACATTTCTGGATGACGCTAAAAGACGAGGTCTGTTATGCGATGACACTGAACATGAGAGGTGCATGGCTGAAGCAGTAATCTTTCAGATGCCATCACAGCTGAGAACACTATTCTGTGTGATCCTTCTGCATTGTAACCGCAGCAATCTGATAGATCTATGGAATTCATTCAAAACAAATATGGCCGAGGATTTTATGCGCCACTTCGACGCTGAAACAGCAGAAGCAATGGTGTTTTATGATATTGAAGCGATGTTGTGATAACAAGGGTGAAGTTTTAGCGACTTTGACATACCAATACCATCCATGTTTTGTCCATTACAATCAAAAAACATCAACAAAGAAGAAGAGCTTCGCTTCGGACAGGAAATGTACGAAACACTGAACGAAGCCCAACGTTCAGCAGTGGATAAGATACTTGGAGCGTATCATAGACGATCAGCAACGACTGCACCATGTTTCTTTATAGATGTGCCTGGTGGTACAGGAAAAACTTATCTCTACAATACTCTGTGCTATTTATTCAAAGGACAAGGTGTCAGTGGTTTAACAGTTGCATGGACCGGGATTGCTGCGAATTTATTGGCTGAAGGGAGAACGGTTCACAGTCGTTTTAAACTTCCAGTGCCTCTCTTGCAGACGTCTAAATCCAGTATTCGATCAAACACCAAGAAAGCCGACACAATTAGAAAGGCTGACGTCGTCATTTGGGACGAAGCACTGATGGTCCGATCCTACGCACTTAAAGCAGTTGATATTTTACTTAGAGATATAATGAACATAAATGTACCTTTCGGAAATGATGCAATGATTGGTAAATAACATAAAATGGACGTAGGTGAAGCATCACTGAACAATAAATATATTAATATGATATTATAAAATCCCATCAAGTATCCAGTGAATACCAACAATTAAAAATTGCTTGGAATAATATTGCAGTTGGGTTCTATGGCACATCGAATGTTTCAGCCATTTATACTTCTCCAACATTCAATGCCACAAACGTTGTTATTCATACTTTCTAAGAGCGACTTTGATTCATTTATCATTTTAAAAGTTGGAATATCATACAAAAATTTAACATTATGTATCAGCCCGTAAAAATAACAAGACATAAAACCACTGATAATTAATGCCATATAAAGCAAAACAGAATGCTTTTGATATACTAATATCGACTGAATGCGAACACCCATTTAAATATCTGTGAATTTTTGGCGTGAAAATTTCGCTTTATTTATTTGTTGCGAATATACAAGTGAATCATAAATATAACGAATAGAATAATGCATACTATTGTTCATGCTATAAAATATGGATTACTTGAGATGATCTCATCCAAGCAATCGAAATTCTGCTTGACTCACTATTCAACAGAAACAGACTTCAGAGGCTAATTACTATGTAAAACTACCAATAATTCTTTTTACTAATAAATTATTACAGATTCATTGCTATTTTACCAGGACGAACAATCCGATACCTGGATCCAACCTGATTCGATCGGATTTCGATCGGTTCCTGCAGGATTCTACGCAACTCCGGGTTGCGAACCCACCCACGGATCCCTAGTGCTGGAATTCGATCGATTTTTGCAGGAACCAGTGAAAACCCGATAGGTTTCTTTATGACCTCGTTGGAATCCGACTTCTAAAATTCGTATCGAATTCGGTTGTTGGATTTGATCGGATGTTCACCGGATTCCAACACTAGGGATCCGTTAGTAGTTCCTCAACCCGGAATCTCATGGGACTTTGTCGGCTCGTCGGATTTTATAAGATTCGATCGGATTCGGTATCGGATTCATTCATCTGGGTAGATAACTACTGTTGGACTAGGTGTCACTACATACTGCTACTATCAGACACGAGACCTCACATATATTTATATATATATATATATGGCATATATATTGTCACTTCTTATGATTCAATATTGGTATTTTCGATTATTTAAGCTAATCCATATTTTATCACATGAACAACGACATGCACTCGTATGTTTTTTATATCCATATATACAAGTATCGTCACAAAAGATAAAGAAGAATGTCAACTTCGAAAGAATGCACATATTTAAAATGGTGCTACTCGCCGTCTGGTATTAGCATGTTTTCAGCAGTCACCATGTTCGCTGCTGTTGTAATAATCAATGAGTTTATGCCAGCATATTTTTACGCATTGGTAAAGCATCAAAAAGTTTTGAATGATAATCCATCGTTTATAATGATTAATCAATCAAAATCGTTCATGGAAAGTGTGAATAATAACACTTCTGGTTTTGAATTATTAGAGAAGTTCAAATGACTGACAGAATTCGATGTGCTTACCGAACAGAACTACAATATTGTACCACTCAATCTAAAGTATTTGAGATACTCAGGCTATGTTATGGTCTTTTACAATACGGCCTTGATGCATTTGTTATTGAACGGAATATTTCCTGTTTCTATGATATAATGTGTGCCAATAATTGCATCATTGATACCGGGGTTTATCCACCCAACACAATTAGTCATATTGGGTTTTTTGTAAGTTAGCCAAGTGGTTGTGGCAATTATCATAACCGTTACTTCTATTGCGTCGAAAGAAAAAAAAGTACAAATCGGCTACAGCTTCAAATTTGGATACGCACCCTAGTGAAACATCTTGTATGCAAGATCTGAGACTCTTGGGATCGGTAAGTAAGATCTTATCAAGATCTTAAAAAGATAATGTATATATGTACATATCTTGGTTGTATCAGATAGATCTGTGCCTAAGATCTTCGCAAGATCATGGAAAAGATATCGTTTACTATTATCTTCTCACAAGATCTTGAGTAAAACAGAAAGCGACATCGTTAGTTTATTTAGATAGGCTATCTAGCCATTCACCGTTTTTTATGCATACAGAACTGAATATAAGCAACATGATTGAACATGCAAAAAAATAAGTTTTCAAAATAATTTTTTTTCTAAATTATTTCTCGATTATTGATTATTCGAGAGAATGTTTATCTCGATCGATGATCGAGAGAGGACTACCCTAAATTTGTCTGACGAATATCGGACCAACGTAAAGCCAGTCAGACCTCAACATCTGACTTGCTTGAGCTATTCGGGACAGGAATAATTAATATTAAAATAAATTCAAAAAAAAGTATCAAACCTTCTTTCAGAATGCATCATTCAAGATTTTATGAATTCTTATTTACGATCTGTAATAAGATCTTGGTACAAGATAATCGTATTATTATGTACCTAAATTTTCAAGATCTGTTCACTTATCTGTACCCAAGATCTTTGCGAAGATCTTACTTACAAGATGTTTCACTAGGGTGCACAAATCATGCTAATTTTTTATACTAACTTTTGCTGTTATTTTATTTACTGATAACTAGAAGTACTAATTGTTGGTGACTTTTTGTTGTCATTGTCTTTGCAGATCTTTTGAAGAGTTGTGATGTTACTAAATAAAAACTTTTTTATCATGCAAAAGAATCATTTATGCAGATATTTCACTTTTTGAATCACGATGACCTGTTAAAAATTGACATGATGCACTAAAAGTTCGACATTCATGACGTCTTGATTTACTAAACATTAGATTTTGATGATGTAAAATAGTACTTTCTTCATAGACAAAAAATACTTTTTTTGGCCTAAATTAACCATAACATTGAGTGACAGACAATAGATTCGACGACTTAGTACAAGAAGAGGTTCCAATGAACGAATGTGAGTGGTTTCTACACTGGTTGTCTTCAAACTATGCAATATACCAAGATTTTGCTCATTCAGGATAAAAGTAATGCTATGAGTATGAATATTTTAATAATGAACATAGTTGCTTTTGTTCCGCAAAAATAAGCAGAATCAATAGACGATGAACAAGCAGAGAAAATTTTACCTGAAGTTACTGTGCAGGTTTCAAGGTGGGTGAGCAACGAAGCTATTTTCGTATAAACAATCACTTCTACGAGAGAACTTTTTCTAAAAGCATGTATCAGTGTAAGCACTTTTAATATTGATTTCTTTTCGAGCAAAAGGAATGATAGTATATTGTGTGTAATAATTTGTGTATGAAATGAATTTTTATTATACGTAATGGTTTCAACATTCTCTATTGTCTCCTATACCATTGTAAACATTTCGTTTCTCCTAACCAATTATTTTGCAAATTATGAAATGTGGCATAAGAATAAATCAGATTAATCAATAAAAAACTCAACCGATATATTTGATTATTCTGAATAAGTTGTAGTGTCAATTGTTAGCACTTGGTATTTGCAGCAACATGATTTTTCTTATGTTCTACCTATCATTGAGCATTAATATTTTTATAGATACATAATTCAAGATTAGACT